GCTAAAGTCAAATCCTTCAAATTCTGCTGTATTTGATCCAAAATATAAAACCTAGTTTCAAAACAAACCAAAAACCATTCCATCATTCGGTATTCGAATTTCCGTTCTGTTACAAAACACAAATATTGATATTAACCCAATTCAGTCATTTGGAACGATAGAAATTCCACTTGACTTTTCACTTCATGAAATGGTTAAATCAGACCCAGACAGTCGCACCTTTCGTTCATCCTTCTCGAAATTGTAGTTAAAATATGAAACATTTCTACATTTATATACTGATGGTTCAAAACATAATGATAAGGTTGCTGCGGCCATGGTTACACAAGATGAAAGCTATGGATGCCGGCTACCGAACAACACCTCAATATTCTCGGCAGAAGCGTGAGCTATCTACCTCGCAATTGAATATACTCAAACAAACAAAGTAATGAGAGCTGTTATCCATTCTGACTCTCTTTGTGTTCTACAAAGTCTTAGCAATAGAAATATCGAATATATTTTCATTCGTAATACCTTAATACTATATCATGAGCTTGCTTTTAACTTTCATATTGCTTTTTGCTGGGTTCCTGTACACATGGAAATACCAAGCAATGAAAAAGTAGATCGTGCCGCAAAGGAAGCTTTATCGGTACCACCTGTTGTTTTTAAACTTCATTTTACTGATTTTAAACCATTTATCAAACACATTTTAAAAGCCTAGTGGCAGGAGGAATGGAATACATATACCAATAACAAATTGCACTCCGTTAAATATGTTGTCGGTGAATGGTCTCCAGGCTATAGAGACAACCACCGAGACGAAGTTGTCCTTGTCCGTCTTCGGATGGGCCATACATACCTTACACATTCATATATGTTGAAAGGAGAAGATAATCCTTGGTGTATAGGATGTGATGAGCCATTCACCGTTAAACATTTTTTATTGGACTGCATTGACCTTGTCTACTCGAGAACGCTTTTATCGTAACATTACATGTCTAAAATCCCCTTTTGAAACTGTTGAGATTTGCAAAATTCTGCATTACCTGAAAGATGTTGGTCTATATAATAGACTATGACGTACCATTTTAATCTTTTGTGTTAATATACCCATTTAAGATTTTTAGCATTTGTCTTTTTATTTTTTGGTTTGTTTAATGTTATTTCCTTTTGGAACGCTGTGTGTTTTACCAGTTGATGGCCTTAATAACCTTTTATGTGTTGACGGGCCGTTACGAATGTAACAATAATAATATATATAGACGCAAAATACGATATTATATTGATAGGAAAGAATCGATATGCAATTCACTAAATTTTACAAAAAATATTTTGCCTATAACAGATAGTTATGAGTAGTGTTGGGAATCGGTTGAAATTTCCTGATCGATCATCAACTTTGTGTAACCGATCAATGATCGATTAAAATCGATTAATTCTAAATTGTCTGTTTTTGGATATTATTCAAGTCTAAATACGTATTTTGTGTTATGTTTTAACAGCAGTTCACATTATTACTAAAACTGTTGTACCTACACCATCTGTTTGTGTGCTTGTTATTCGTTTATTGCACAGAATACTTTTTAATATAAACAAATGTCTTTTTTAAAAATAATTTTATTAATGTTGAAAATAATTTCAATGTTGAAATAATCTATTTTCATACATCACGATGATCGATTACAGATTTCTTAATCGATTAATTGATCAAACATCTCGAACAAGTGATACTCGATTAAATCGATTAATCGGAACAACACTAGTTATGAGTAAAACCCAATTCTCCTGACCAATAGGCTGTCAAGCTATACTCATACTTTGTAATGAAACGAAGGGAAGTAACTCTCTAAGACGAAGGGAAGTAACTCTCTGAGATCACTGAGAAACACTCTTTCTTGTCTGAGCGTTCTCCTACTAAATCTCTAAGATGAACGATCCAGCGGATTCTACTGGCGATGAATGCCTCCATCATTACCACACCAAAACTTTATTATGGAGGATGTGATGGTGTTGTACTGAAAATTACAAATATATGGATGACATCTTAAATTCAACTGGTTACAAGTGTAATTCGTCTATCTTGGATCTATCTTCAAATTCGCAAGAAAAGTGACATAAATACACGTGTACTTGACGCTGTTCTAAAATTATCTGATGTATGAAAATTGTGATATTTATCTAATTGTGTGGCTGCTGCACCTCCCCAACACAACATGTCCACCACTGATGTACACAACATGTCCACCACTGATGTACACAACATGTCCAGTACTGATGTACACAACATGTCCACCACTGATGTACACAACATGTCCACCACTGATGTACACAACAGGTCAACCACTGATGTACACAACATGTCCAGTACTGATGTACACAACATGTCCACCACTGATGTACACAACATGTCCACCACTGATGTACACAACATGTCCAGTACTGATGTACACAACATGTCCACCACTGATGTACACAACATGTCCACCACTGATGTACACAACATGTCCACTACTGATGTACACAACATGTCCAGTACTGATGTACACAACATGTCCACCACTGATGTACACAACATGTCCACCACTGATGTACACAACATGTCCACCACTGATGTACACAACATGTCCACCACTGATGTACACAACATGTCCACCACTGATGTACACAACATGTCCACCACTGATGTACACAACATGTCCACTGATGTACACAACATGTCCACCACTGATGTACACAACACAGTAGTGATGTACACAACATGTCCACCACTGATGTACACAACATGTCCACCACTGATGTACACAACATGTCCACCACTGATGTACACAACATGTCCACTACTGATGTACACAACATGTCCACCACTGATGTACACAACATGTCCTCCACTGATGTACACCACATGTCACCACTGATGTACACAACATGTCCACCACTGATGTACACAACATGTCCACCACTGATGTACACAACATGTCCACCACTGATGTACACAACATGTCCACTACTGATGTACACATCATGTCCACTACTGATGTACACAACAGGTCAACCACTGATGTACACAACATGTCCACTACTGATGTACACAACATGTCCACTACTGATGTACACAACATGTCCACCACTGATATACACAACATGTCCACCACTGATGTACACAACATGTCCACCACTGATGTACACAACATGTCCACTACTGATGTACACAACATGTCCACTACTGATGTACACAACATGTCCACTACTGATGTACACAACATGTCCACTACTGATGTACACAACATGTCCAGTACTGATGTACACAACATGTCCACCACTGATGTACACAACATGTCCACTACTGATGTACACAACATGTCCACCACTGATGTACACAACATGTCCAGTACTGATGTACACAACATGTCCACCACTGATGTACACAACATGTCCACCACTGATGTACACAACATGTCCACCACTGATGTACACAACATGTCCAGTACTGATGTACACAACAGGTCCACCACTGATGTACACAACATGTCCACTACTGATGTACACAACTGATGTACACAACATGTCCAGTACTGATGTACACAACATGTCCACCACTGATGTACACAACATGTCCACTACTGATGTACACAACATGTCCACCACTGATGTACACAACATGTCCACCACTGATGTACACAACATGTCCACCACTGATGTACACAACATGTCCACCACTGATGTACACAACATGTCCACCACTGATGTACACATCATGTCCACCACTGATGTACACAACATGTCCACCACTGATGTACACAACATGTCCACCACTGATGTACACAACATGTCCACCACTGATGTACACAACATGTCCACCACTGATGTACACAACATGTCCACTACTGATGTACACAACAACACTGATGTACACAACAACTGATGTACACAACATGTCCACCACTGATGTACACAACATGTCCACCACTGATGTACAACAACATGTCCACTACTGATGTACACAACATGTCCATGTACACACATGTCCACCACTGATGTACACAACATGTCCAGTACTGATGTACACAACATGTCCACTACTGATGTACACAACATGTCCACCACTGATGTACACAACATGTCCACCACTGATGTACACAACATGTCCACTACTGATGTACACAACATGTCCACCACTGATGTACACAACATGTCCACTACTGATGTACACAACATGTCCACCACTGATGTACACAACATGTCCAGTACTGATGTACACAACATGTCCAGTACTGATGTACACAACATGTCCACACTGATGTACACAACATGTCCACCACTGATGTACACAACATGTCCAACATGTACACAACATGTACTGATGTACACAACATGTCCACCACTGATGTACACAACATGTCCACCACTGATGTACACAACATGTCCACTACTGATGTACACAACATGTCCAGTACTGATGTACACAACATGTCCAGTACTGATGTACACAACAGGTCCACCACTGATGTAAACAACATGTCCACCACTGATGTACACAACATGTCCACTACTGATGTACACAACATGTCCAGTACTGATGTACACAACATGTCCAGTACTGATGTACACAACATGTCCACTACTGATGTACACAACATGTCCACCACTGATGTACACAACATGTCCACCACTGATGTACACAACATGTCCACCACTGATGTACACAACATGTCCACCACTGATGTACACAACATGTCCACCACTGATGTACACAACATGTCCACCACTGATGTACACAACATGTCCACTACTGATGTACACAACATGTCCACTACTGATGTACACAACATGTCCACTACTGATGTACACAACATGTCCAGTACTGATGTACTCATTTATAACCAAGTCTAACTGGAGCAAGTATAGTATCTTGTCCAATGATACAATATGGTGTCTGACATTTCAATCACCAGCCAACTGTATCGCCTTCAAGTAGAGTTAAAACAAGGAAAGCTGAAGAACAACAGGAGACAGAATTGGAAGGTTTTGTTTTATTGTGTCCGGTATGTACCGGTGGAGTGTGGGGTTCTACAACTATCCAAGTATTAACAAAAGCAGTGCATCAGATCTCCTATATAAAACCAGCCTTTATAAGCAACAGATACAATCATTACGGGTATGAACAAAGGACCTAGGACCTAATATGTCTGAATCTTTTTATAATTCTGCATTAAATCTAGCTCCAATTTTGAAAAATATTATTTATCTTTTGTGTTTTACTGTCATATTGTACATGGCTTAAACATGAATATTCTGTTAATAACTTTCCTATACTTATATACAGTGCATAAAATTATAGATTACATGAAAGTTTTTAAAGTGAAAACATGTTTCTGATGACATAAATTTAGTAAAATTTATATTTTCTACATATTTTCATGAGAATAAAGAGAAATATGAACAATTTTCTTTAAAATTATTAGAGCATTCATCAACATTTAATTATCTTTTACTGTATATAAATCTGGACTAAAAATTGTAGAGTTGAGCCTATATTCAACACTAAGAACTCTTACGGCAAGCACCTTGCATAAAAATGCAGCAAATAGCAAAGAGCTGACTAGTCATATAGACACACAGACTGATGGACAGACACAAACCAGCTGTAGTTAACCTGACCATTAGACAAGAATGACCAACAGTGGTGAGAGACTGACCGTCAGTGTGCCCTGAGACGGCTGTTAGTGAAAAATAGTATATTGTGCTGATGTGATAGTAACTATATGTACCATTATATTATTGCTGTAGATGTAACAGACCTATCTAGGTCCATATATCTGTAAAAATCAGGGACATTTATAGACAGAAACCAACAGATACATTAATGTATAGCTGGATTAACGAGGACAAGAAGGTATTTATTTAAATATTCACAAAACACCTAGATTATACATGATATAGGATTCAATACAAGGGGAATAATTTAAGAAATAATAAAAAAGTTTCTATATAAAAACACAAAAATGTAATACTCCAACAACCAACAGAAAGTATTGCTAAAACACATGTCAAGGATGTGATGGGTTATCTTACAGGAATAGCCCCCCCAATACGGAATTACCTCCCTTGTTCATAAGTGTCTCTTCACTAAAGGATTGTTTCCCTTGTTGAATATTTTCCACTTTAATCCCAAGGATTGCCTTTCCTGATAAAGGGTTGTATTCCTGATTAAATAAAAGGTTGTCTACTTTGATCAGGGATTGCCTCCCCTGATAGGTTGACTAAACAGCAGCTAAAATTGTACACACCCTCACTCTCTTGTAATTAAATCTATCTCTCCCACAAACACACACATTATTTTTCTTGTTTTATCTCAGCCCTCTCTCACACACAAAATAGCAATTGTAGTTACCTCGTTACAATATTTTTTTAAACAAATTACTCCATTGATCAACTAAAAGTTGGCAGGGCACATCTCACAATAGCAGCAGCTTGGGAAGTATTGTTTAACTAAAGAGAAGCCTGCTCCAGATAGTCTGGAAATCTGACAAGTATTGAGCATCATGAAGCATTTCCATACATTTAATACAAACATTTAGATTCCACTAAGCTAATTATTCCTTTATCACAAGATTCTATCATTATCTGAACCAGTACAAAGAGCAAAAATTATAAATATGACAAAGTAATTAAAAATCTCCTATCATTTATCTTCTAACCTGTGGAGTCATATATAAAATCTACTTCTAAATGGCCAACACTTCTACAGTGTTGACCAGAACATACTCCTGGACACTTGCAGCCAGAAATTACCAGGTCTGAAACCCATCGTGCTGAAAAAAACAGGGAATGTCTTGTTAGGAATCAGAATGAGGATTTCTGTGCCTTGTCCTGGTATCTGTGTAGGGATAGCTCAGTCAACCACAGTTTTTTTTAATTCAAGGTAGTCCATAATTACCAGGATGTATCAATTCCAGGACAAATACCCATGATGGGTGATGATGAGTTTTGAAGATTTCATCATTTGAGTATCAGAGTAAAAGGTTGTCTCCCTTTGGGTAATATCTCAATTCAAAGGCACCTGCCATGGTGTCCCAGCTTATGACATCTCAGTCTAGGGGCTACACTGGACTAGGGCTGTGTACAGGCCATTGGGATGGCCCAACTAGGGGGTGTGCTGACCAGTGGGACAGAATGTCCCATCCCAAAGGGCTGTACAGACCACTAGGACATCCCAGTCTAGGGACTGTACAGACCACTAGAACATCCCAGTCTAGGGTCTGTACAGAACACTAGGACATCCCAGTCTAGGGACTGTACAGAACACTGGGACATCCCAGTCTAGGGACTGTACAGAACACTTGGACAACCCAGTCTAGGGACAGTACAGACCACTAGGACATCCCAGTCTAGGGACTCTACAGAACACTGGGACATCCCAGTCTAGGGACTGTACAGACCACTGGGACAACCCAGTCTAGGGAATGTACAGAACACTGGGACATCCCAGTCTAGGGACTGTACAGAACACTGGGACATCCTAGTCTAGGGACTGTACAGACCACTGGGACATCCCAGTCTAGGGACTGTACAGACCACTAGGACATCCCACTAGGGACTGTGCAGAACACTGGGACATGCCAGTCTAAGGACTGTACAGACCACTAGGACATCCCAGTCTAGGGACTGTACAGACCACTAGGACATCCCAGTCTGGGGACTGTACAGACCACTAGGACATCCCAGTCTATAGACTGTACTGACCACTAGGACATCCCAGTCTAAAGACTGTACAGAACACCAATGGTGGTATTGATCACAGTATGTCCCATCCAACGGGCTGAACAGACTTCTGCGACAGGACACATCACCCCAGCAGCTGTACACAGGAACATAATACCTAGAGATACACAAAGCCCTGTCCTTGGTTTGAGGGACACAGACTTTAACTGAGGACTAATAAAGACCTGCCAACTTATGGAGCAATCCCTCCAAATGGCACTAGGGTACTCTCCTTCTTCTAATGGGAAAGTTGTACATAATTAAAATAGTTGTCTAAGTCATTAGTCACACGATTCTCTCAACTGTAATGGCTGGTTACCATCCCATTCTATCAATTTCTATGGAAGTCTAAGATGAAGATTTGTCATCTCCTAACCGCTTCTTCCTCACTACAAAATAGAAAACATTGAATTAGAAAAGAAAGCAAACAAAATCATTCCATCTAACAACTACTGAAATGGGATACCTCCTCACAAAGTATTCCATCTTACAGTTACAGAAATGGGATACCTCTCCTCACAAAGTAATCCATCTTACAGTTATATATAGAAATGGGATACCTCTCCTCAGAAAGTAATCCATCTTACAGTTACAGAAATGGGATACCTCTCCTCACAAAGTATTCAATATTACAGTTATATATAGAAATGGGATACCTCTCCTCACAAAGTAATCCATCTTACAGTTATATATAGAAATGGGATACCTTCCTCAGAACACTCCATATAACTATGATAATTCTTTTTCAGATAGTTATGAATGATTGGAGATACATTTCACATTTTCTAATAAGTGTCTACAGAGTTACATGTTAATGTAAGACGAATATTCAACTTATTATTTTCACCATTTTCAATGTTTTTGTTTGACTTGTTTCACTACTTACATTCATCATTGTTGTTTTGAATTTTGTCGTGGACGCGGACTCTGGGCTCGGGGAATTCGAAATGGATACCAAACTTAAGTAGGGATGTGTTGGCTTCAATCATCTTTAACACTTTCATCTCTACTTTGTTTCCTAGTGCCTCAGGTTTCTGAGTAAGACAAAAACTTGATGTCATTGACTGTTGTGTACTTTTCTATGCATTATTTATCTAATATCTGTTTCAACTTTTAATCTGGCTTGTGAACCTCAGATCTTGACCCAGTTAGCAAACATCAGGTTCTAAAGTGTTTGATCTCTAACCTTGATAGTAAACCTCAGGTCTTGAAGTAATTTACCTTTAACCTGGTTTAGCAAACCTTAATTCTTGAAGTGTTTGTTCTCTAACTTGGTTATAAAACCTCAGTTCCTCAAGTACCTGACCTCTAGCCTAGTTAGCAAACCTCAGTTCTTAAAAGCATATGACCTCTTTCCTGGTTAGCAAACCCTCAGGTCTTTAAGTATTCAATCTCTAGCCTGGTTAGAAAACTTCAGTTCTTAAAAGTGATTGACCTCTTACCTGGTTAGCAAACCTCAGTTCCTGAAGTGTCTGGTTTTCATTGATAGCCTTAAGGATCTCCACCAAACAATCCCCACCTATGAAGTTGGACTCAAGACTTAGCACCTTGAGTGTCTTGTTGGCCCTTAGAGCATCTGGAACAACCTACAACAGATACATCGTAATAATAAATAGAGTGTGTTTGTTGAGGACCAACTTAATATTCTCTCTAAAGTAAATCTTGATAGAAGAAGATATCTTCATCAATCTAATTACTTCATTTATATCCAACAATAAGGTCTAGTAAATAGGCCAATCTATATCTATTCTATTGTCTTGTAATAAGCCCACCCTGACTTCGAGTCAAAGAAAATGCGTTGCTCTCCTGGGGATGGGAAAAGCCCACTCCTGCCTTGGAGTCAGAGTTAATGTGTTACCCCCTTAGGGTTCTGTGAAAACCCACCCCTGACTTGGAGTCAAGGTTATGTGTTGCCCCCTGGGGTTCTGTGATAAGCCCACCTGACTTGGAGTTTAAAGTAATGTGTTGCCCCCGCAGGTTCTATGATAAGCCCACCCCTCACTTGGAGTCTAAGGTAATGTGTTGCCTCTGCAGGTTCTGTGATAAGCCCATCCCTGACTTGAAATCAGAAGTGAAGTGTTGCCCCTGGGGTTCTGTGATAAGCCCATCCCTGACTTTAAATCAGAAGTCATGTGTTGCTCCTGGGGTTCTGTGATAAGCACACCCCTGACTTGAAATCAGAGGTCACGCATTGGTCCCTGGGGTTCTGTGATAAGCCCACTCCTGACTTGGAGTCTAAGGTAATGTGTTGCCCCCTGGGGTTCTGTGATAGGCCCACCCCTGACTTGGAGTCTAAGGTAATGTGTTGCCCCCTGGGGTTCTGTGATAAGCCCACCCCTGACTTGGTTTTATGGATGACACCTTTGTGGACAAGACAAAAAGACTAGTTTGATCCTTTAAAGCACATCAAACAAATATCGAGGTCGCATAACCATATGTTGTAATGGCTTTGTAATTGGACGTCATTCCCTGTAATCTTCTAGAAGAGCACATCAGCCGATGATTGGTCAGTTTTTAGCCAATGATCATCAGATTGTGGTGTATTCAAATTGCCCTACATACGTAGTCCCTCCCAATGTAAACAATTTCTGTTATTGTTATTTTTTTTATCGCTATTTCTTGAGAAGTACTGGATTGATTTTTCTCAAATTTCATGTGTAGGTTCCCCTTGGTCCGTATATGTGCCCATTTGATTTGGGTAGGGCAAGGGACCAAGGGGGACCTACATTTGAAACTTAAGAAAGATCCATCAAATATTTCTCAAAAAATAGCAAAACAAACCTGCATTGTCAAAATCCAAGATGGCCACCATCCGACATTTTGTTTTTTTCTGGTCAAACCTGAAATGGGTGAAACTTGGGACCAAAGGAAACCTACATATAAAATTTGAGAAATTATATGCTGTAGTTCTCAAGACATAGCAATAAAAACTTTACTTAACAAAATCAAAGATGGCTGCCTGTTGGCCATTATGTTTTTCTGATTAGTCCCAAAATTGACTTGGTACAACTAGGGACAAACAGGAAAACTACACAGGAAGTTTGAGAGATATCCATTCAGTGCTTCTTAAGGAATAGTGATAACAAACTTGTAAAGTTGCATCTGATGATGGTTGGCTAATAAAACCTGATTAATTTTGTGTGAATCTTAAACTTTTCCAGAAACTTTTATCATACTAATTTTGTATCAGTATCAGGAACTAACTTACAGAAGCCACTCTGTCAGTCATTGCTACGTTTGCCATCTCCAGTGTCTCTAGACAGGTATTGCTTTTAAGTCCCTCTATAACCTCAATCTGTCGCTCATATGAAATGTTCTGAAATTGAAAATGTCAGAAGCATGTTAGTTCTGCAGTGCTATGTTTACATGCACAGACTGATAAACAAGGAGCACACTAAACGAGACATTAAACATTCAAATAAAAATACATCGATCTAAACTCAATAATAGAGACTTGCCTTAATGTTATTGAGGTTGAGTGACTTCAGTTTAGCGTCATTGGCTTGGATCTTTTTTATACTTTCCTCCACATCAGTAGGGTTTGGAGGTTCTGCAGGCACCAGCTTCAGTACCTGTGCTTTGGCCGTTCCTGTCAGGGGATATAACTCATTAATAAATTGTCATCTGGGAATACAGTCTACCAACATCAGGGGACATAACTCATCAAAAACCCTTCATCTGGGAATATAGACTACCCACATCAAGGGGCATAACTCATTAGTAAGCCCTCATAAGGAATAAAGTGTACCAACATCATGAGGAATATAATCTATCAACATAATAAAGAATATAGACTACAAACATCTGGGGACATAACTCATTAGTAAGCCCTCATGAGGAATATAGTCTACCAACATCAGGGGACATAACTCATTCGTATGCCCTCATGAGGAATATAGTCTACCAACATCATGTGGAATATAGTCTACCAACATCAGGGGACATAACTCATTAGTAAGCCCTCATGAGGAATATAGACTACCAACATCAGGGGACATAACTCATTAATAAGCCCTCATGAAGAATATAGACTACCAACATCATGAGGAATATAGTCTACCAACATCAGGGGACATAACTCATTAGTAAGCCCTCATGAGGAATATAGTCTACCAACATCAGGGGACATAACTCATTAGTAAGCCCTCATGAGGAATATAGACTACCAACATCAGGGGACATAACTCATTAGTAAGCCCTCATGAGGAATATAGACTACCAACATCAGGGGACATAACTCATTAGTAAGCCATCATAATATAGTCCAGTCAACATGCACAAACCACAAACAAATATATGTATATATACATCATGCAGGGACATAACTCAGACACAGCCCTCATGAGGAATATAGACTACCAACATCAGGGGACATAATTCATTAGTAAGCCCTCATGAGGAATATAAACTACCAACATTTGGGGACATAACTCATTAGTAAGCCCTCATGAGGAATATAAACTACCAACATCAGGGGACATAACTCATTAGTAAGCCCTCATGAGGAATATAGTCTACCAACATCATGAGGAATATAGGTTTCCAACATCAGGGGACATAGCTCATTACCAATACATTAGAAGTCCAGTCAACATGCACAAACCACAAACAAATATATGTATATATATAAGTAAACAATGCAGTGGGTTGTGACCTGTATAAATAAACCTTGCATCTTTTGTGAAAATTTGAATCAGTCCTGATTTTCTATAAAAGTTGTACAAGATTTGACAATAAAATCCCTGTCCTAAGTATTTATCTATAAAATACCTTCATACAGATGGTATAAAATACCTGTCCTAATAATCATATACAAATCTTTATTGATGAAATCTAACAGGATTGGTGTGTTGTTGGTAGTAGGAATTAGGTCTATCAGTACAAATGATCAATAACCATATTTCTGAATTACAAGTTATTATATCTTACACACTGTACAAATTAACATGCTAGATGTATTTATAAACAGGACATGTTAATGTCCCAGCATTCCAAAAAAATGACCATTTCAGGTATGATTACACTGTGTGTAGACGTAGGGCAAAATTAATACTGAAAATATTAATAATCTTTTATAAAATACCTGTCCTAAGTATTTATCTTCTATAAAATCCCTGTCCTAAGTATTTATCATCTTCTATAAAATCCCTGTCCTAAGTATTTATCATCTTCTATAGAATCCCTGTCCTAAATATTTATTATCTTTTATACAATACCTGTCCTAAGTATTTATTTAAAATACATATTCATTATCTATAAAATACCTGTCCTACATAGTATTTAAAATCCCTGTCCATCTTCTATAAAATCCCTGTCCGAAGTATTTATCTTCTTTAAAATCCCTGTCCTACATATTCATCATCTATAAAATCCCTGTCCTAAGTATTTATCTTCTATAAAATCCCTGTCCTAAGTATTTATCATCTTCTATAGAATCCCTGTCCTAAGTATTTATCTTCTATAAAATCCCTGTCCTAAGTATTTATCTTCTATAAAATCCCTGTCCTACATATTCATCATCTATAAAATACCTGTCCTACATATTCATCATCTATAAAATCCCTGTCCTAAGTATTTATCTTCTATAAAATCCCTTCTATAAAATCCCTGTCCTACATATTCATCATCTATAAAATCCCTGTCCTAATATTCATCTTCTATAAAATCCCTGTCCTTAGTTTATCATCTTCTATAAAATACCTGTCCTAAGTATTTATCATCTTCTATAGAATCCCTGTCCTAAGTATTTATCATCTTTTATACATTACCTGTCCTAAGTATTTATCATCTTCTATAAAATCCCTGTCCTAAGTATTTATCATCTTCTATAAAATACCTGTCCTACATATTTATCATCTATACAATCCCTGTCCTAAGTATTTATCAATTTTACACATTATCATATATTGCTGCTTTTGTTATCTGTCTTGCCAAATATTAAAACACCAATATAAATTCTTTGAAAGTTTTTTTTTGTACATCATCCACTTTATGTGACAAAAGAAAATGGTCTTAAAAGTATAATGAAGCATACATTTAGTAAATGAGACTAAGAGAGTCTCCTAACAAATACAGTTTACCAATTCCAAGAAGAATTTACAATAAATGTGCAACATATTATATTTGCATTGAATCTGAAAAATTCTACTTTCTCTGGATTTTACAGAAACTGTTACATGACAACTTCCAAGTTACATTATATATACACAACATATTTCCATAACATCTACAAATTTAGTATTTACATATAAGTAAGAACCAATATATCTAATAATTGTAATTTCTTATCTTAGATAATAACCTGAAAGAAGTTGCACAAAATTTTCCAACCCAAACCATAACACACAAAATCTCAATCCACAGAACAAACAGCATGCTGAGGATAAATACAGTGGATATCAGTTTCCATCACCCCAGTAAAATTTGGCGTTAGATGGAATGAAAACAAGTTTAAGATTCTGTTTATCATAGATCTAAACTGGAGCTTATGTAAATTTGTGTATATTTGAGTAAAAAAAAATAAAAAAGAAACATTACTAGCTATGTCTTATTTCATAAAGTACATTAATATCCCTGAATCATGCTGTTCAGGTGTTAACATATAAGACTTAATTCTATCATCAGTACTGTAAATCACATATATAAAATAACTAATTAGAAATGATGACCAGGCATACAATATTCCTTCCACTGTCAGCTGATGTGTAAGACGGTTTCCCTGTATGCAAAGCAAAGCAACATGCACATCATGCAAACCAAGATGAGAAGACAAAATAATATCACACAATATTAGTATATTTATGCACTATTTGTTAGTGTTGTCAGGGTTTTCCATAAGAGCTGGTTGCCGGCCATAAGAGCCAGTTGCCGGCCAATTTGACCGGCTACTTTGATCATTTGGCCGCCTACACCAATCCAGTTCCATAATAATGTCCCATACACGACTACACATACACGGCAGGCCAGCCTCCTACTTTCACTACACAGCCTACTACTAACAAAATTATGGAAAACCCTGGTTGTAATACAAGACATACAAGTCTATACAAACTTAGAATTAGATTCTGTATAACCAAATAATGAGTTAAACTATATCCTACAGAAAAGAACCACACCCATCAATGAATGAAGATTTTAGTAACTTTGATTATTGTATTCAATATATCATGCAGAGAGACAGAGAGTTAGAAATGCTAGACAGGCTGAGAACATATGCACTGACTGGATTGCTGTCCATTATCAAAATCTGATGCAGCTTGTCCAAGTATATATGTACTCAAAAATAAGTGATCTTAGTACATGTGTACCAGTAAAGCAAGTAAGTGATCTACGTTAAGTACCGGAGAATCCATGAGAAAAGAGATCTACGAAAGCCTGGGATTGCAGTGAGTAGAAGGAGATATATATTACTTACCAGGGTCTGAGAGGTACAAATACAAAACATTGGTAATTCAAACAACAACACACAACAATGTGATTATCACACACTTACAACATACACAACATGGATGTTTTGGTCTATGTGAAAAGTTCATGTGACGGTTATTGATCTGTAGTCAAAATAAAAATTTTAAATAAAATTTTAGTTTTTGTAGGATACAATGCCATATCAAATCTAGATTTTCTCCGTAAATTTCCAGATTGAATATATTTATTCAAATTTTAAAATCTTGTCATTGATGCCAATTGGGAAAATGCTATGTCCTCAAGGAATTTTACAAATTTTGATGAGTTATACATTGAACTATATACACATGTATCCACAAACTTGTAGCAATGATTGTTGAATCTGCTGTGCTGTGGGCCACTATGGGATATATATACACCAAAGCACTGGTTGACAACAAGGTTACAAGTGATTGTGAGGCCAACCTCTGAAAAAACACCTGTTTCACGTGCATCTTTTTACAATGTCTCTAATCTCTGTAGTGTATAAAAAAACACACAACAAACAGGTATTTTTTTCAATCTGACCTTTTTGGTACATATATCGGTCTCCTTACCTGTAGGTGCTGCCAAGACAATTAACATGCTGTTACACACAAACAAATCCAAGGCCATATTAAACACAATAATAATCATGGCAACCTCTTTGAACTGCTGTTACCCGTGACCTATGACCTGATTTTCCGTGACCTATGACCTGGTGTTACTCCAGACCAGTAACATGCTGTCACCCATGACCTGTGGTGAACCCCTGACCTACGTCCTATTATTACTCATGACCTGTGCTTACCTCTGGCCTACTGCTGCAACCTTGTTCTAATCTGTGACATAGTTTTACCCAAATCTGACCCATTTTGTTCCTTGTGACCTTTGAATTAGATATTACTCCAAAGACCTTGTGTTGCTCCTTTGAGTTGTTAACATCTCCGTGACTAATGGCAACATTTCTGTAATTCTCGCTGAGGTTACCACAAATGTGTCGTTTTAACTCTGTATTTCATACACAGTTAGTATCTGTGAAAATCCTCTGTGTTATCCAATATGACACCCCGTGACTTGGTGTTACCCACTGTGACACAAGTGATTATGTGACTTGGTGTTTGCCATGGTGACACTCAGTGACCTTGTGTTACTCCTGTGAAACCCTTTGGCTTTGAAGCTTAACCTTTAACCATAAAATATTCCCTATTGATACTGCCATTTAACCTTGGAAGAGCATGCAGAACACTTGTTAGTGAAGAACCACACTTCCAGACACAGTCCAGGCACATGCCTTGTAAGAGAAAACACTGGCTAATTTGGAGGTTTAGAAGACTGTCTTTCAGTAGATTTTTTCTGACAAACTTTATTTTGTAGAGTAAAACCATACAATAGTTGCTTAGAAAGTTAACATAACATACCACAGTGGTGTTAAAGCTAAAGATACATGCTACAATTCACATCATTACTATACCTGTGATTTGTGTAAGGATTACCTCCCTTGGGAGTTAATTTTGAAAATCTGCTCACACTTGATAATCCTAAATTACCAAGGAGCTGTTCATTATACTTTAACAATGTTCATTTCCTGTCACTGATCATAAAACTGTATGACACAAAGTTCTCGGAACTTTTCGGTCAGATTTGTGATGTATCCATCAAAAGATTTTTTTGAAACATTTGTGAAACACATCTAATGTACATCTTACATTACTGTAAAACATACCCCTGTATCTGATTTCCAACTGAAAACTTCCCTTTATTTATTTGTCAAATGCCCAATGGTAGTATATGTATTTACCAGTAAAGCCGCCGGTGTGTGATATGTCCTCACTCTCTAAGGATGCGTAGTATTGTGTCTGATTCAGCATGCCATGAAATCCCAACACAGCTACAACAAAAAGAAATATCATCAAATACTGTCTACAGTGACCAACTGTATATAGTGATAACCTGTCTACAGTGACCAACTGTATATAGTGATAACCTGTCTACAGTGACCAACTGTATATAGTGATAACCTGTCTATAAAGATATTTCTGTGGTGGTTGCCAGTCTACTGCCACAACCTGTATATAGTGATAACCTGTCTATAGTGATATTTCTGTGGTGGTTACCCGTATACAGTGACCAACTGTATATAGTGATAACCTGTCTATAGTGATATTTCTGTGGTTGTTACCCGTCTACAGTGACCAACTGTATATAGTGATAACCTGTCTATTGTGATATTTCTGTGGTAATTACCTGTCTACAGTGACCAACTGTATATAGTGATAACCTGTCTACAGTGACCAACTGTATATAGTGATAACCTGTCTACAGTGATTATAACCTGTCTACAGTGATTATAACCTGTCTACATCATTTACCAGCAAGGTCTACAAGCTCCTCCTCTGATGCCCCGGCTAAGATATCGTCCCACTCAGTCTGTATTGCCTCGTCCTCATGTACCTCCACCTTAGGCTCCTCTTTCGGTTTATAGATCTTCCCTGTAATAAATAGATCAGGTTATAGAGAGCAATAGATCTGTATATACACACCTAGATATACAGTATCACACCTGTATCACACCTAGTATCACACCTAGATATACAGTATCACACCTAGATATACAGTATCAAACCTTGATATACAGTATCACACCTAGATATAGAGTATCACACCTAGATATACAGTATCACACCTAGATATACAGTATCATACTGACCATATCACACCTAGATATACAGTATCATACTGACCATATCACACCTAGATATACAGTATCACACCTAGATATACAATATCACACCTAGATATACAGTATCACACCTAGATATACAGTATCACACCTAGATATACAGTATCATACTGACCATATCACACCTAGATATACAGTATCATACTGACCATATCACACCTAGATATACAGTATCACACCTAGATATACAGTATCATACTGACCATATCACACCTAGATATACAGTATCATACTGACCATATCACATCTAGATATACATACTGACCATATCACACCTAGATATACATACTGACCATATCACATCTTAAATACATACTGACCATATCACACCTAGATATACATACTGACCCTATCACACCTAGATATACATACTGACCCTATCACACCTAGATATACATACTGACCATATCACACCTAGATATACATACTGACCCTATCACACCTAGATATACATACTGACCATATCACACCTAGATATACATACTGACCATATCACACCTAGATATACATACTGACCCTATCACACCTAGATATACATACTGACCCTATCACCCCTTGATATACATACTGACTCTATCACCCCTAGATATACATACTGACCCTATCACCCCTAGATATACATACTGACCCTATCACACCTAGATATACATACTGACCATATCACACCTAGATATACATACTGACCATATCACACCTAGATATACATACTGACCATATCACACCTAGATATACATACTGACCATATCACATCTAGATATACATACTGACCATATCACACCTAGATATACATACTGACCATATCACACCTAGATATACATACTGACCATATCACATCTAGATATACATACTGACCCTATCACACCTAGATATACATACTGACCATATCACACCTAGATATACATACTGACCATATCACACCTAAATATACATACTGACCCTATCACACCTAGATATACATACTGACCATATCACATCTAGATATACATACTGACCATATCACGTCTAGATATACATACTGACCATATCACACCTAGATATACAGTATCATACTGACCATATCACACCTAGATATACATACTGACCATATCACATCTAGATATACATACTGACCATATCACACCTAGATATACATACTGACCCTATCACACCTAGATATACATACTGACCATATCACACCTAGATATACATACTGACCATATCACATCTAGATATACATACTGACCATATCACACCTAGATATACATACTGACCCTATCACACCTAGATATACATACTGACCCTATCACACCTTTATATACAGTATAACAATAAAACCACCCTATCACTGTATCTACTACTATAAGTAAAAGTGTTTGTATCCGTGGTTTTTTGCAGAAAAAGTCACCTTGGATGATGAGTGATTTCCATCAATGGAAAATAAAAATTAAAACATTGTAAATATTGCAACAGATCTAACCATCATACACTTTGAAGATCTATTCAAGCTTAACCTACTGCTGGAAACTACTTCATGGCCAGCACTGAAGAAAAACATTTTCCAGTGAATGTCACTTCCCTTAAATACCAAAGGAAAATACACATAATAACAAATAACAACTGCTATTGTCTCATCTTACAATTTGTCCTGACTCACAAAAAAAAAAAAAAAAAAATGGAAATTTGTCCTTTTAAACCTCTTCACAGGGATAGATATTGTACAAGTGAAAAATATGTACATATCTTATAGAATTCTGGAAAATATACTGTCTGACCAGAGAATACCTTGTGGACTACAGTCTGAGGTGAGGTTATGTGATTATCTCCCTTTCCTGAACTCACTAACCTCTTGTCTCCTTGACATAGGGTTTCACTTGTTCCCAGTCCTTCTCCTCCTTGGCTTTCTTTTCCAGGAAGGCCAGCAGCTTCTCCCGTTTATATGGACCAGTGGGGTCCTTTGTTGTCTGCGGTTTCATGCGCTGACTTGGTGGTAGAAACGAGTTCTGAAATTAACACAAGCTTTGTAAGTGAGGTTCTGTTGGTACTATCACAAATACAAAAATCTTCTGAAAGGCTGTGACAGCACGCATAAAACTTGTTAAATTTTCCTGGTACTGGATGTTAACCAACTCTGATTTCATGATACTGTATCTTTATATCAGATGTCACCATTAAACTCCTGAGTCTCCTGACATATTGTATAACTGTCCTGTATCTTTACATCAGAAGCCACCATTAAACTCCTGAGTCTCCTGACATATTGTATAACTGTCCTGTATACTTACATCAGAAGCCACCATTAAACTCCTGAGTCTCCTGACATATTGTATAACTGTCCTGTATACTTACATCAGAAGCCACCATTAAACTCCTGAGTCTCCTGACATATTGTATAACTGTACTGTATACTTACATCAGAAGCCACCATTAAACTGCTCAGTCTCCTGACATTTTGTATAACTGTCCTGTATACACTGTACTTACATCAGGGTCGAAGTCGCCATTAAGCTCCTCAATCTCCTCCGTTGTCAGTTGTGAGAGGAGTTTGTCAATGTCATCGAGGTCAAAATCTTCCACTTCTTTCGTGGCTTTGAGGTGCACACTATCCAGCGCCATCTTCTACAACATCAACAAAAGCTGTTGGAGAACCTTGATACTCAAATATGAACACATGAGAACTATCCAACAGTGCCTAAACACATACACAAAGTCACCTGTTTGGATCCCCAGCAATATCAATATCATTTCTAAATACTTTGAAAAAACTTTAACGAAAAATAACTTTAAATTATACATAAAACAAAAAAAAAAAAAAAAAAAAAAAAACAAGAGACAGAAAAACAATCCTACAATTTCACTCTGTTGAATCACAAAACAGCCCCTGGATGCCTTACTCTCTTACAGACAGGGTTACTCTAAGATAGGTTCTCCTTGTAATGGCCAGTAACTACCACAATAAATAGCATGCAGCAGTCTTCTATTCAAATCAATGTTTATAAAGTTTCCTGCACAAGGACGAAATGTTGACGACACAAGACGGTTAGAAAGCTCAGCTTTCTGAGAATCACAAATTACATCTCATGTGTGTACTGTAACATACTACATGTGTAACATATTCTACCCCCTACCTGTGTGTACTGTAACATACTACATGTGTAACATATTCTACCCCCTACCTGTGTGTACTGTAACATACTACATGTTTAACATATTCTACCCCCTACCTGTGTGTACTGTAACATACTACATGTGTTACATATTCTACCACCTACCTGTGTGTACTGTAACATTCTACATGTGTAACATATTCTACCCCCTACCTGTGTGTACTGTAACATACTACACGTGTTACATATTCTACCCCTACATGTGTGTGCTATAACATTCTACATGTGTAACATATTCTACTCCCTACCTGTGTGTACTGTAACATACTACACATGTTACATATTCTACCCCTACATGTGTGTGCTATAACATACTACATGTAACATATTCTACCCCCTACCTGTGTGTACTGTAACATACTACATGTGTAACATATTCTACCCTCTACCTGTGTGTACTGTAACATATTCTACCCCCTACCTGTGTGTACTGTAACATACTACATGTGTAACATATTCTACCCCCTACCTGTGTGTACTATAACATACTACATGTAACATATTCTACCCCCTACCTGTGTGTACTGTACCATATTCTACCTCCTACCTGTGTGTACTGTAACATACTACATGTAACATATTCTACCCTCTACCTGTGTGTACTGTAACATACTACATGTGTAACATATTCTACCCCCTACCTGTGTATACTGTAACATATTCTACCCCCTACCTGTGTGTACTGTAACATACTACATGTGTAACATATTCTACCCCCTACCTGTGTGTACTGTAACATATTCTACCCCCTACCTGTGTACTGTAACATACTACATGTGTAACATATTCTACCCCCTACCTGTGTGTGCTGTAACATATTCTACCCCCTACCTGTGTATACTGTAACATATTCTACTCCCTACCTGTGTGTACTGTACCATATTCTACCTCCTACCTGTGTGTACTGTAACATACATGTAACATATTCTACCCCCTACCTGTGTGTACTGTAACATACTACATGTAACATATTCTACCCCCTACCTGTGTGTACTGTAACATACTACATGTGTAACATATTCTACCCCCTACCTGTGTGTACTGTAACATATTCTACCTCCTACCTGTGTGTACTGTAACATACTACGTGTAACATATTCTACCCCCTACCTGTGTGTACTGTAACATACTACATGTGTAACATATTCTACCCCCTACCTGTGTGTACTGTAACATATTCTACCCCCTACCTGTGTGTACTGTAACATATTCTACCCTCTACCTGTGTGTGCTGTAACATATTCTACCCCCTACCTGTGTATACTGTAACATATTCTACCCCCTACCTGTGTGTACTGTAACATACTACATGTGTAACATATTCTACCCCCTACCTGTGTGTACTGTAACATATTCTACCCCCTACCTGTGTGTACTGTAACATATTCTACCCCCTACCTGTGTGTACTGTAACATACTACATGTGTAACATATTCTACCCCCTACCTGTGTGTACTGTAACATACTACATGTGTAACATATTCTACCCCCTACCTGTGTGTACTGTAACATACTACATGTGTAACATATTCTACCCCCTACCTGTGTATACTGTAACATATTCTACCCCCTACCTGTGTGTACTGTAACATACTACATGTAACATATTCTACCTCCTACCTGTGTGTACTGTAATATACTACATGTAACATATTCTACCCTCTACCTGTGGGTACTGTAACATACTACATGTGTAACATATTCTACCCTCTACCTGTGTATACTGTAACATATTCTACCCCCTACCTGTGTGTACTGTAACATATTCTACCCCCTACCTGTGTGTACTGTAACATACTACATGTGTAACATATTCTACCCCCTACCTGTGTGTACTGTAACATATTCTACCTCCTACCTGTGTGTACTGTAACATACTACATGTAACATATTCTACCCCCTACCTGTGTGTACTATAACATACTACATGTAACATATTCTACCCCCTACCTGTGTGTACTGTAACATACTACATGTAACATATTCTACCCCCTACCTGTGTGTACTGTAACATACTACATGTAACATATTCTACCTCCTACCTGTGTGTACTGTAACATACTACATGTAACATATTCTACCCCCTACCTGTGTGTACTGTAACATACTACATGTAACATATTCTACCCCCTACCTGTGTGTGCTATAACATACTACATGTAACATATTCTACCCCCTACCTGTGTGTGCTATAACATACTACATGTAACATATTCTACCCCCTACCTGTGTGTGCTATAACATACTACATGTAACATATTCTACCCCCTACCTGTGTGTACTGTAACATACTACATGTAACATATTCTACCCCCTACCTGTGTGTGCTATAACATACTATAACTGTAACATACTACAAGTAGCATATTCTACCCCCTACCTGTGTGTGCTATAACATACTACATGTAACATATTCTACCCCCTACCTGTGTGTGCTATAACATACTACATGTAACATATTCTACCCCCTACCTGTGTGTACTGTAACATACTACATGTAACATATTCTACCCCCTACCTGTGTGTACTGTAACATATTCTAACCCCTACCTGTGTGTACTATAACATACTACATGTAACATATTCTACCCCCTACCTGTGTGTGCTATAACATACTACATGTAACATATTCTACCCCCTACCTGTGTGTACTGTAACATACTACATGTAACATATTCTGGCATATTCCTTGCAAATAAGCACAATCATGAGTTTGTCAATCAATGATAGCTGCTCTGTATAAATCATATATTATGGAAGTGACAATCAACACAATCGTATTTCATTGCAATATTTAGGGCAAAAATAAGATACCCACTAAAATATGTTTGTCTACAGTATCTTGTTGGTTTAATTATATACTTCAACAAGGCAGAGATGACGCCATTGGAAATCCATGCTAACAGCGTAAACAGGAATGTACATGTAGGAATACCCGTAGGTACATGTAGGAGTACCCAAACGTACATGAAGGAGTACATAAATGTACAAGTAGGAGTACCCAAACGTACATGTAGGAGTACCCATACGTACATGTAGGAGTACCCAAACGTACATGTAGGAGTACCCAAACGTACATGTAGGAGTACTCAAACGTACATGTAGGAGTACCCAAATGTACATGTAGGATTACCCAAACATACATGTAGGAGTACCCAAATGTACATGTAGGAGTACCCAAACGTACATGTAGGAGTACCCAAATGTACATGTAGGAGTACACAAATGTACATGTAGGAGTACACAAACGTACATGTAGGAGTACCCAAACGTACATGTAGGAGTACCCAAACGTACATGTAGTACACAAACGTACATGTAGGAGTACCCAAACGTACATGTAGTACACAAACGTACATGTAGGAGTACCCAAACGTACATGTAGGAGTACCCAAACGTACATGTAGGAGTACCTGTATACATAAACATTTCAATATGTGACATCAGTGTTTATTTATATATCCAGGAGCTTTAATAATTCACTTATATAATCAGCTTAGTATTTCTTTATTAATTGCCAGTGCATACTTTAAAATGACCTACAGTGTAGTAAAGCAAGATTAAGAAGAAAAAACTCTGTGTTGAACTGAATGAATGTATACCACTGTAAGTCTTAAAGTATGTCGTTCCATAAAAATGAATCACATATATATGTATATTGTACACAAGTCAGCGGCAAAGAAAAAAAGAAAAAAGAAAACTAGCTACGTCATTTTGTTATTGTTCAGTTAACAGGATACAGAGCTTGAGGCTGTCTATTGTTTTCCTCATCACAAGCCACAGGAATGTAAAACAGTGGCTGTGTGCATAACTGGGCTCTCGCAATGACCAGTTAACTAAAACAAAATGTAAACATGGTGTAAACAACCAACTTATTGTAGTCCGTTGGGGAATATTCTACAGGGCTCTCCATCTGCCAGATTTGGGGCCGAATTCCCAATGCAAAATTGCATCTTTTTTCCCAATTTAGACCCCAAGTTTTCCCAATTCGTACATGTAGGAGTACCTGTATAAGTGTTTATTTATATATCCAGGAGCTTTAATAATTCACTTATATAATCAGCTTAGTATTTCTTTATTAATTGCCAGTACATACTTTAAAATGACCTACAGTGTAGTAAAGCAAATGGAAAAAACTCTGTGTTGTAAGAGCCCTGTTCTATCATCTTTATATGAGAGTATTTTAATTTCATTAGAGGTCATTTACTGCATGTGTTATTGCAGTACTGTATAATAGTTGACAATAAATACGGCATACTCTGTATTTGTCAGTGAACTAAAGAAGTTTATCAACTGGTTATTTATTTCATCAATGATTTTTTCCAGTGATTATATAACTTTGAGTTTTGATTAATGAGAGCAGTACACTCACATATATAGAGGTTATTTGTTTCTCATTTAAGACAAGAAATATTTTCTATACCTGTATTTGTCATAAGTGAAATGTTATAACACATCCCATTTATTGTACAGATTTATCACAAGTTCCAGCCTTCCATCACACTGAGCCCCAGTGATGACCCCTGCACCCTTCTCACTTACATCACACTGAGCCCCATCATCTTTATATGAGAGTATTTTAATTTTATTCCATCATTTACTGTACAGTGTTATTGAGTACTGTATAATAGTTGACAATAACTTCCATCACACTGTATTTGTCAGTGATAAAGAAGTTTATCAACTGGTTATTTATTACATCACACTGATTTTTTCCAGTGATTAAATAACCCCTGTTCCCTAATCACTTACATCACATATATGATTTGCCCCCATTTAATAAGAAATATTTTCTATACCTGTATTTGTCATAAGTGAAATGTTATAACACATCCCATTTATTGTACAGATTTATCACAAGTTCCAGCCTTCCATCACACTGAGTCCCAGTGATGACCCCTGCACCCTTCTCACTTACATCACACTGAGCCCCAGTGATGGCCCCTGTACCCTCCTCACTTCCATCACACTGAGCCCCCAGTGATGACTCCTGTACCTTCCTCACTTACATCACACTGAGCCCCCAGTGATGACCCCTGTACCCTCCTCACTTACATCACACTGAGCCCCCAGTGATGACTCCTGTACCTTCCTCACTTACATCACACTGAGCCCCCAGTGATGACCCCTGCACCCTCCTCACTTACATCACACTGAGCCCCCAGTGATGACTCCTGTACCTTCCTCACTTACATCACACTGAGCCCCCAGTGATGACTCCTGAACCCTTCTCACTTACATCACACTGAGCCCCCAGTGATGACCCCTGTACTCTCCTCACTTCCATCACACTGAGCCCCCAGTGATGACCCCTGTACTCTCCTCACTTACATCACACCCAAGTGTATTGATTCTGTATCTGGTAACATGCCTGGGGGATATACCTTAGATCTCCCAGTCTGTGGGGGGTTCAATTATGTACAGGCCAATGTAAATAACCTTATCTAAAGTACCACAATATACTAAAGAGATGTACTGTTACATACTAAGTGTGTTAACTTCATGATCATGAACATGTTCTTATATCCAAAATAAAGACAATATAAACAAAACCAAACAATACAAGATCTATCCTGTAACACTTCTTTGTCTGGCAATAAGTAAGGCAGTAAGGTAATAAGCCCATGCCTGTTAATAAGTCCACTCATACCCATGATCTTTAGTAGATTAGAATTACAAACCAATGCCATTACAATGTCCAGTAATAAGCCCATGTCTGGTAATAAGCCCACTCCCTACCAATGATCTTTAGTAGATTAGAATTACAAACCAATGCCATTACAATTTCCAGTAATAAGCCCATGTCTTGTAATAAGCCCACTCCCTACCAATGATCTTTAGTAGACTAGAATTACAAACAAATGTCATTACAATGTCCAGTAATAAGCCCATGTCTGTTAATAAGCCCACTCATACCCATGATCTTTAGTAGATTAGAATTACAAACCAATGTCATTACAATGTCCAGTAATAAGCCCATGTCTGGTAATAAGCCCACTCCCTACCAATGATCTTTAGTAGACTAGAATTACAAACCAAAGTTAATAAAATGTCTTGTAATAAGCCCACCCTACAGTTCTCTGTATTTTCTACAGGATATATACAGTCTATTGTGACATTTCAAAATTTCAGAAGAATTTTATTTTTGTTCATTTTCAAGGTACTTTAAATCACAAACTGTAAAAAAAGTAAATTTATAGGGCTTTATTCATCCACAAAAAATGAAATGTCTATGCAATAGTATTTTGTTGAAATACCATACAGTCATACAGGCACTCAATACATCAATGTTTTACAGTGTAATTAAAGTCCTGGACTTGCAGTATATGTTATACTGTAAAGATCAACAGACTCTCATTATAGTGATAGATGTTTTACTATGTAGTAAAAAGACCATTAGATTTAGAAATAGTATCTTATGTCACTGAATGTGCTATGTAAGCATGTGTATCACAGGACAATCTAATAAAAGTACTGATGATAGTACTCCCCTTACCAGTCACTGGCCTTAAGATAAAATCCTGCATCAGTTAATTCATGGCTGTCTAGAGGACTGCTACACAGACAACATTCAGCTACACGAACATGGTAGATAATACTGAAGAATAATACAACACCATCAAAGATGGATATTCTACGCAGCCAAAAGGTGTGTTACAGCAGAACAAGGTTACAAGTACCTACATTGTCTATCTAGTTTAAAGATGACTTGTACAATATCACCAAAATATCACAGTTTACAAACCTTGTTTTAGAGTTTATATCCCAGATACACAATAATATAGGTCCAGTAGGTTTGGTAATGAGGAGGCGAAAAGGTGTGGTGTTCTTACTCCCAACCGTGAATTGGTACAGTATGTGTTTACATCACTGACTGGGATCAGGACGTCTGTAGTCTTGGTTGTGAGAAGGTGCTATGTACATCACTGCATGAGATCAGGACGTTTTGAGGTTTGGTGGTGTGATAGTGTTACATCTTATGTTGGTACAGTATATCCTTAAGACTAACATAACTGTCTGGGATCAGGACATCTGGAGGTTTGGTGGTGAGATGGTGTTGTGTCCTATCCTTGGTACAGTATACATCACTGCCAAGGTCAGGACGTCTGGAGGTTTGGTGGAGAGATGGTGCTGTGTCCTATCCTTGGTACAGTATACATCACTGCCAAGGTCAGGACGTCTGGAGGTTTGGTGGTGAGATGGTGTGTCCTATCCTTGGTACAGTATACATCACTGCCACGGTCAGGACATCTGGAGGTTTGGTGGTGAGATGGTATGTCCTATCTTTGGTACAGTATACATCACTGCCAGGGTCAGGACGTCTGGAGGTTTGGTGGAGAGGGGGTGCTAATCTGAATGTTGATAGTCGGGTAAAAATATTCGAGTGCAGATTTCCACAATGTTAACTGTACTCAATATTTCAGAAATTCAGGTTCCAGAAATACCTTTTTGGAATGGAATGAATTTTCATAGTAATATTACTGTTTGTAGCCATATAAAATTATTAATACAAATAAAACGCAATTAGACATATATAAATACCTGTTTTTACTACACAGAAAGATTGAAAAACCAGAAATATCATACAGGCATCAATATTGTTTATCAAGGGGAGATAATCCAATAAAATTGGCTAATTTACTATAAGTGGCTTGTAATCCTGATGATTCTGACCAGGCACAAAGTGTCCGGATTATCAATGGTCCACTGTATCCCATAGTGTAATAAGTACAATGTGCAAAAATAAAAGAAGGATGTGCTTACTAGGATTATTTACAGAGGAAACTTTCTACTTCAGACAATGTAAAAAGCAAAAATGTAAATGTAACTTTAAAGTTTGTTAGTTTGACGGCTGGGAAAGCATACATTGATATAGCATCCCGCAGAGTGGGCACTCCCTGCCAGCAGCTATAAATAGCCATTCTGGCAGCATCATCACCTTACATACAGGTTTCTATGGTGATACATAACAGCTGTAATTTGTTGGGTGATTTTTGGTCTCTTGTAGGGTCATTTGGGTGACTTTTACAATATAGATAATTATAATGATATACATTCTTGATCACTGTTAATTACGTTACATCGATCTTGTTTCACTAAATAATTTGGATATATCATCATCAACAGACTGACTCCAGTACAAATCACACACATGTACTTCATCAATACTCAGACAAATGAATGTGTGTCATCATGTTCTAGTTACATATGTGTACCAGGCATGTACATAACACATGCACAGCTGTACCTGCAATCAAGTCTCTCTACAAAGGTAGAACACCTGGTTGTGATGTGAATGTGCTTAGATAGTGGCACAAAGTTTTGTCCACTCATCAATCTCCTGTAATATACCATATATATAAAGAAAGAGAGAGAGTCTATTTTTTACTGTGACCACAGGGCACAGCCTCTCTTAATTAATCACATCTTGAGGAATTTACAGTGCAACAAAAACTTCAAATACAATGCAAGTCAGATCAAATACTAAGTAGGATGTAAAGTGATGTCAGTCTCTGAAGTGTTTGATAAACGCAAAATAAATTAGGAGCTAAAAAATGTGTTTATATGTAAAATGTGATTTTTCCTGACTTTAAAAGAAAGAAAACAGGAGTGACTAAGATAAAAAGTAGATTTGCTTTCCTTTCTGAAGGTACATATAAATCTGTGTGATTCTATATAAGGTTAACAGAGAAAGCAAAAACTTCACGAGGAAATGAAATATTTCAAATTAATAATATATATTATTCTAGCCTGAAGACAGGGTATATGTAAACACACTGACTCAAAACATCATATTGAATTACTCCTGCAGACTGTAGTTAGTTAGGTAACAATTAATGAGACAATGTCAGATCACAGCTAACAACAGGTGCCACAAAGTACTGAATAACTTCATGGTTTACTAGAAAACACATCATGACATGCATAATTACAAAGCATATTTTTATATACATTGGATAGTTTTATTCACCAATAGATTACAGATACGATATCTTTGATAAGTCAAGGTGACTGAAGGAGAAACAGGAGACTCTGTGTCATGACTGACAAGTCGCATTGTGTCCAAGGACACACAAGGACATTAACACCCAAACTCTGCTTCAATTTTCACAACGGTTAAATATCAGTTGTGTCTCCGTACGGCTGGATACATTAGAATGAAATCAACAGGAAGAAAAAGCAATGCAATTAAGTCTATCTCACTGTTAAATGCAATCATAAGGTTTCGAGGAAATGTCACAGTAACTCTGGGTTAGAAATAGCTTAATTTACTTTCCTTCTAAAAAATTTATAAGTAAATGTATGTTTGCTGGGCTTATTTTTTGCCCCATGTACAGTCAGGGTCATTTTGAGGCAGGGTCTTCTTATAGTAAGTAATGGTTACCCCACTGAACATAATATGGGAGATCCATCAAAAGCAATTAGGGTTAAGTGCAAGATTAACTCCTTACAACAATACATGTACCAACAGGGTTTGTCTTCAGACTACTGGCCTGGTCACAATAAATAACATATGGGATATCGTGTAGTCACAAGCCCAACCTGTTATGGACAAGTAGTGTTTAAATTTCTGTCAGGTAAAAAGATTATAGGATGTGAACATACTTCAGAAAGATTTAATTGAATGTCCTAACAAAATAGGACAAATATTGGCAGATGGCCTTAGATCAAGCAATATCTTCATCAATCCACATCTCCAAGAAGCTTCAAATTCTAATCACGACATAACAACATACCAACTACATGGCTAAATGCCGAAAATATCACCAGTGAAAACTTTCCTTGACATGCACATAGAGAACAAGCTGCCAAGGGATCTAGATCAGTTTATATTCTAGAGTATGTATCTTCAGTATGGGACTCTCCCACTTAGCAGAAAAATCCATCACCAGGAGATGGAAAACCACAGGGACTTGGCATGAATTTCCAACCCACGGTCCATTATGTATATATATATCATAGTGACAAGGGGATGTAACTCCCCAGAAGGGAAAACTGAACTATGTGGCTTGGCAGACATCCTGTTCATACTTACCTGCTTTCAACTCTAATTCTATATTTAATAATATTTAATTAATATTACAATATTTATCATAATGGTTTCAGGGCATGGAGGGAGGCCAGGTGACAGGAAGGAAAGATGACTGTTCTAGTAGAAGGAAATACCCGATAAGTACAGTAATATTCACACGGACTTTCTGCAATGAACAAAACAGTACAACATCAATGGACATCCTGTGTGGACACGGTTGTGTGTGCTGTATACTGCCACAAGTGTAAATTTTGTGTTTTTGGCATAGTTATTGATGTACGTACCAATTAGAGATGAGAGTGTTTTTCAACTAGACATGATTAATATCTACCTTCCCATTTCTACACATTCCATATTTGTCTGGACATACAATGGTCAATACCTTGCTAATGCTGTTCATCAAACACTTATTTCTCTTAAAGACAATGTACATGTATGTGTCACTGAGATCTATGACCCTTAGAATATCAAAATACATTTTAAAAAAAAAATCTGGTTTTCCTTTCTCTGGAGTTACAACCACTAAAATATCATGTACATATATTTTGGTGATAGGTTCGAAAGTCCTTGTGGGTATGAAAACATGAAAATCTTGGTTGTGTTGCCAATAATACTGGTTTTGGAATAGGTGTTTTAATTTGGAAGCCAGAAGAGCAAGGATGCTTGGGGTGGGCAATATTGCCATCGATGCTTGGGGTGGGCGATATTGCCATCGATGCTTGGGGTGGGCAATATTGCCATCGATGCTTGGGGTGGGCGATGTTGCCATCGATGCTTGGGGTGGGCGATGTTGCCATCGATGCTTGGGGTGGGCAATATTGCCATCGATGCTTGGGAAGGGTGATATTGCCATCGATGCTTGGGGTGGGCAATATTGCCATCGATGCTTGGGGTGGGCGATATTGCCATCGATGCTTGGGGTGGGCGATGTTGCCATCGAGGCTTGGGGTGGGCGATATTGCCATCTTTTTCAATACTTTATACAGTACATGTATTTACAATATAGTGAGTCTGACCATCGTCCAATAAATGGTGCCTTTATCAAATAATGAAAGTGTTTCCAAACTAAGTAATCAGAAACAGAACAAAACATTCAGACCTAAATAAATGGACACTTGGATGTACATGGTACAAATACACCAATACCTGGGTGGTTCATATGTCACCAACAACATAAGGTAGATATTTAGAAGGTTGACACATACAAACACTCACTCAAAAAAATATCAGGAGTATCTGTTTCATTGGAAAAGTTGGGTACTTTTTCTTAATACATATTTCTAAATGTCAAACATCCTCCCACACAAAATAGCCCATTGATCCATCCTTGGATGCCAGTATTTTGTTGTCTTGTCACATGAATAAAAAAATAAAAGTCCATACATGAACATCTTATATTGGAGAAATGATCGTTTTAAAACGATCACTTTTGATAACTGCTTTCTGATTTGAATGTTGTTAATTCAAATCAGAAAGCAGTCAACAAATTGGTAATTTTAAAATAAATGTTCCAATGGAAAAATCTACTCGCAACACATGGAATCATAGGTAAGTTTGAAACAATAAAACAAATCATTAAAGAACGTTTAGTGAACAAGTCATTGATTGGTTTCAAGATAAAAAAGAGAAAAAAGTCTGACCCTACTAAGCAAAAAAGTATCATACACAGAATGTCCCCTACCCAAATGCGACATCCTGAGCAGTATTGTACTATACATGTGTGGGGTGGGAGCAAAGTCATGGACAAATGGAGAAAGCGTAAAGTTTTAACTGAAGAAGAAAATTTGGGGTCTTAATAACACTGACAAGCAACTGCTGGTGTGGGACTTGTTCCAGGCCCATTTAACAGAGGATATCTAAAAGCTTGTAAGCCAGAAATACTACAGCGACCTCTGTTATTCCAAGAGGTTGTACATGTAAACTCCAGCTGACATTTCCTGAAACAAATCCCTTAAAGACAAGCTTGGAGAGCTGTATGATTAGTGGTGTTTTAATGGTCCTATAGAGAAAACCAAACAGGGAATCGTAGGGCCTCATCTAAGGCAGTGATTTGTCATGGGCCAAGGCAGCATACGCATAAGAATAAATATGGTATATGTTTTTTACAAGATCATGTTAAAGCGCATATCAGGAATGGGTTTCTGGCGATTAAACTGACATCTGCATGCAAAAGATGACCTATAATACTGGAGTGACCTTGATGCAAGTCCAATGTTACATCCTGGACATCAGATGAGTATGTATCCCAACCACTGAAAATGTTGTTTGAAACGACAGACGTTATAAGGAACAAATCTAATATTAAATGTCATTGAATATTTGATATATTTTACTGCAAAATGACAGTTGAAGATCAACCATTGTCAAAATATTTTGCAGTAATAGGACCAATTTTAGCAAAGGTTTGCTATATTGTTTGATGCAGTTCAGCATCCATCGTTACGTCCTAATGAATGACTCAAACATGAATATGTTTGATTTTTAGCCTCATGTAAGACAAGAAAACCCTAAATATACAAGAAAAACTTTTTTACATTTAACAAACGGTGGATAAGTATCATGTAGTGTATCGTATCCCTAGTTGTCCCTAGGATGCACAGGACACCAAACATAATTTTATATCTTTGTTACATAGGTCTTTCCATTCTGCAGCAGATTTACTAGGTGCCTTTGAATAAACAGTTGAATGTGCAAGAAATGCAAGGTACAGATCCAGACTGAGGCTGGACTGCAGAATGTTTGGCCTATGCAGTTTGAGAGGTCCAGTTGTACCTGTCCAAAACTAACTTGCTGAATATATCTGTTTTCAGAATTTCAGTGTAAAAAGTAGAGTCAGTGCACATACATATATTCGGGAGCATTATGCTATTTAGTATAAGTGAAATGGATGGTATCTTAATTTTAGTTAAGTGGTTTATACCTGACAGGAAATTTCAAAACAGCATTTTCAGCTTTACATATATCAGGTCCAACACCCGGTACAAGTGCGTTCATGTATAGTGGAATAAATCCAGACCACAAGAACCGTTTCCACCAGGATATGCGAATGTAGCCTGTTTTGATGATGAAATGTACACAGACAATACCCTATGAGAAAAAAACTGTGCATAACATCACATTTAACATTTAAATTTGTCTGGTGTACATTTTACAACGCCGAATTCTACCTCATATATATAGGCCGACATTCAAATGGGCCGAGGTGATTCTAAATCATGATAGTTGGAGGGGTTGGACGGCCCAGATGAATTGTCAGTGTGTAGTATTTTCTTCAACGAACATAACAGCAACATCGTCTCAATCATTCGCTTCAAAGCATGAATAAATGATAGACAGATACATCAATACGCCAAAACGAACGACGCCTACGATCTGGGAAAATATATACCGGTTCCGGTTTTTGTTTATGTTTGATCAGTCACCATTTACGGTTTATTATGATTCAGCGGTACGGCATCCTTGCAAATTAAGCCATGCAAAACAATCTCTATTCCAAATATTTTAGGAATTGTCGAATTAAGGTATTTGAATGTGTGTAACAAAGCCTCTTAGTGAACAAAGAAAGTACTTTAAACATTACTTTACCTTAAATAATCGAATGCAGTATCTGCCTACTTCTGCTCTTAAATTCCTTCCCAGCAAGACACTTTAAAATGACCTTCACCTTAACCAATTTCCGTACCATTACATACATCTCGTACCGACGAGAAATAATAACTTCTGATTCTACATCATATTATGAACGAGTCTGACAAAATTTCTTTTCAAAATAAAAATGCTTTATTTTGAACATATATTGATATATTTGGATAATATTAGAATGTTAGTGTTGTCGTTGCCAAGCGATCAAGAAGCAACATGGCGGCGGGTTGCACAAAAACAACGTTCGGAAATATGTAGTTTATGCCATATAGCTTCAAATAACATAACACTGGAAAGTTTATCTGTATTGACAAGGTATGGTATTTATTAAACATATAAGAACCTATATCATTATATATCTTTAATGTTGCAAACATTACAAAAATGACAATTAGAAAGGGGAAACGGCGCATTTTGAAGTAAAATTCTCATGAATTGACATAAATATTTATCAATTTTGGAAAAGGTAGGATGATTTGGTTCATACATTGAACATGTCATAAGGGGCTGAGCAAGTTAGCAATTCCATTGGGCTATTTCATTACTTTACGTATTGATTTAAAGAGTAGAGGGTCTTTCCTACAATGTCGGGGCCTTTTTGGCAAGGTGCTCTAGAATAAAATATCTTTTGTGTAGTGCCAAGATTAGAATACACAAATTTCTCTCGTTTAACTGTATTTTCCTTCTTAGATGTTTAAATCTTAATTGTTGGTTCTTGGTGTATATCAGAAATTGGTTGTCGGAAAGTCGATGAATTCAGTATATTGATATAATTACAGATGATATATATTGCATTATCGAAATAGATTAATGTTTGATAACTTAAAATTCATATCTGTTGCCAAAACTAGTGCGTCATTACTATATACAATGCCAGTACATAATTGCAAGTCAAACCAACCCAATGACAATCAACACTGAAAACACAGATACTGTGCTAACCCCACATGAATTTGTGAATTTGAACTGGTGTTAATGATCATATAAAGTAATTCAACAGTGTCTTAAGATCTAGAGTGCAAAAAAAAAAAAAAAAAAAAGAAGAAAAAGAAAATAAACATCCAGTATCTTGGAATGGAATACAGCATTCAAACATAGTACAAGTTAATACCAATTATGAAATGTTTCTAGGACTTGTTGATACAAATGGGAAATAGAAATAATTTGTCCTTTTTAATTGTTTGCAGTTATTGTTTTTTTCAAATTTTCATATTTTCTGTATTTCTTTCAGAGCAATAAAACAGTAGGATGTCCTATGGACCACATCCGACCCGCCACAGTATGAATGGGGCCTTTGGAACCCCACTCATGGATGGCATGGAGGTGAACGGCACATCCCAAAATGGTCATTTGACAAGCAGTCAGCCAACAGGCTTGAGGACAATTGATCCTGAGGCTTTGAAGAATCGTTTATATTCTTATGCACCACAGCAGTCTAGAGGAAATTCCAAAGCTCTTAAGTAAGTTTGCAAAAAAAATATATATTTTAATTTCTAGTATATGAAACATTTTTTTGAGTGCCACTGAGACTTTAGCTTCAACAGAAGAAGTCCTTTTTCACTTGAAATAATATCCAAATTTCTCAGAGTTTAAAGTAAGTATTGACAAAAATTTCAACAAAATGATAGGTGCATTGTCTACACTATAAATTTGAGCACTAGTACTCTAATCATCCTTTTAATTGTGAAAATATTTCAGCTTGGAAAATGAATGAAAATTTAATAACTTTCAATTTGTTTGGAATTAAAAACATGCATTTGCAGTATGACTTTTAATACTAATTTCGTTAATTTTTTTATTTATATTGCTAAGTTCAGATTTGTCTTGACTTCAATATAGACAGTTCTTGATGATAGAATGAAGATGTTCAACATTTTCTGCTTAGAGCCATCATATATACACTTATGATTATGTATTTTATCTTTTGGCTCAGATTCTCATTAAAATTGATTAAAATCTGATATGCTGTAATTGTAAGAACATTAAATGATCTATTTACAGTTTTGGAAGAGTCACAAGAGCTCAGATGAAGAAAGCGAATATTCCTCGTGCTGCAAAGCTAGAACCAGTGGTAAGATACAATTGTGGAATTCATTGAAAATCAATATCTCTTCTCCTTATTTTAGAGGCATTTTCCAATCACATTTATTTATTTAGAAGTGCAGGAAGTAGAGCCAATGCATTTGTTTGTACTTGGGTTTACATAGGGATTATTTAGTTGTCTTCTGGATGTATGCAGAGTGACTGAGTTGTATCTTATCTGATACTCATTGTGAATCTAATAAATATACGCAAGATCAATTCTTGGCTTTGAAATTATTGAAACTTAAGTTTTCATCACTAAAACCTTCTTGGTGTAGTTGTAGGTATCAGCCTAGTGGAATTACAAACTACTGCCCTTTCTCATTAAAATCTATAAACTTTTAATTAAATTTTACATGTTTTTACAATTTTTTAAGATTTTAAAATACTATTTGGGATATTTCTTAAACAAACCTTTGATAGAAAACTCTCTCCCAAGGCCATTTAAAAATGTTAATAGCTATTTAACCCAATATTTGTTTAACTATTTTAAAAGCAAATGCATCAAAAAGTTGATAAAATGAAATATGAAATGGAAAAAGTAACATGAAACAAATATTTTTTTCATTTGACCTAACAATAAAACCATGCAGAGTTTCAGAGTTACGAGAGTTCTTTTTGATAGAAATATCCTTATGTAGGCATACTATCAACTAATAACATGTTTCTTGTCACCAGCCTAGCCTACAGAAGTACCAAGAAAGGAATCAGCCGGAGTTCCTACAGAGGAAGTTCCGTGAGGAACAAATTGCTAGGGGAACATTAATCCAGAAGGAGGAACCAGCCTCTAAAAAGATGCGGAGACAGGGGTCAGTAGATCCTCTGGAAAGGAGTGCCACAGAGTCACCCCTTCCAGACCTTCCAGAGGACTTGAAGACCAAACAGGTCAGAGGCATCAGATAAAAGGATTTATTTTACGATGTATTCAATTTGATATAAATCTATATATAATTACATAATATAATTAAATTTCATTTTGTAATGCTTATTGTACTGATGTACAGCATGAGGGATAAATCAGTTTTGTGAATTGTCTCCCCTTATTATTACATTTTTTGGTGTTAATGGGTATTTTTCTTTCATAATTGCACATAGGATCGAACATGAATTTCAGAACATTCATCAGGTGATTAATTGCTATAATATTGGCAAAATCATTACATTAATAAGTTGAAATAAAGTTATACTTGATTTAAAATCTAAAATTAATTTGATTCATGTCATATCTTGAAGTGTATATTTTTAATTTCAGGAATCCCTAGTACGGATGCCCACTCCTCCAAAGTCTCCTAAACCTGCATCCCCCAGAAGTAGAGTTCATGCCCAGGGACCAAAAGTACAACAGTCTACCAAACCAAAATGTACATACATGTATTAGTATTGATCTAGAGAAAAACAATTTACTAAACATTACTCATCTTATCTAGTGTAAAACATCACTGTTTTATAGTTCATATATTAAGATATAAAAATATTTGTTCTTTCTTTATTTTCGTCATAAGTTTTCTACGATTTGCTGAATTCCATGGCTAAACAATTATGAATATTCTTTAAATTTTGCAATACTTTGAACAGAAGTTTGTATAAGAATCTGTGACTATTTCAGTTCAATTTTATTATTTGGAATCTTTGATGTAAATATTACCAAACAGGGGATGTAACTCTGGCTGTGTGTTTTGGTTTCCTGTTCTTTATTGAGAGCGTATTTTCTGTTCAGTGCTGGAGACATTTGAGGGACTTTGTGATGCCCAGGAAATCATAGACATCATCAAATATGACAGAGGTGTAGGCTTCATGTACCTCAGTCCTGCTGTGCCAAAAACATCAGTCAAATATCACTACTACAACCTCAGGTAAGTCTGTCTCATGTTTAATATAACTTTAACTTTAAGTTAAATCTGACAGATGCAGCCTTAACTGATATACATCAGATATTGATATAATATGTAACTAAGAGTAACTATATGTAACTTTAGGGTTGTGAGTCACGAGAACATCAACAAGGCAGACTATTGTACAATCAGCCAGCAAGGTGCTGCCCGTATGAGAAGTGACGACGAAACAGAATTTGTTACACTGGACCGCTGGGAACAAGAGTATCACTATTTTCAGAAACTCATCAAGGTAAAGGTTGTGAGGGGATGTAGTGTTTTAAAAACATGGCTCTAACAAAAATATTTTACGCAGTTTTGAATGAAATTCATTTTATGGAACTATTGAATTTACGTAAATATTTATATAAAATTATTGGTGTGAATGTCAAATTCAGTATATGTTTATATAGGTATATGTATATTTATGTCTTAGTCCATGTATATAAATTTTTTTTTTTTTTCGTAAAATTTGATTAATGGGTACAAGAACTGTATTTATATAGGCAATATTCTTAATTTTCAGTTTTTCAATTAATTGTCTCAAGATAATTTACTCAAAAGTTTTGGGGAATGTCTAAATCTTGTTTATGTTTGTAGGATAATTTGTGGCAAACAAGGACAAGGTTATATCACACGAGAAGTTTAGAAAAAAAATAATTCTGATTGAAGTACCTATTGCCAAATAGTAGCCTGTGGCCATTTTGGTTTTAATTTTTCTTGAAAAAAAAGTTTTGATCTATTTCAGATCCGAACTTTTGCGCTGTTCAGGAAGTGGAAGGCATTTAACGTGTGGCGTAAAAATGTGAGAACAAAGCGACTAAAGGACTGCACTAAATCCCTAAACGAGAACCTCTTCATTGTCAACCCAGTAAGTTGTTCTGGCTTATTTTGTATAATATTTTCATGAAGAACAAAAAAAAAAAAAAAAAAAAAAATATGAATACATCAAAAATGAAATAAAATCAATAAATCAATAAATCAATAAATTGATAAATTGACAAATTGATAAACTCTGGCTCACTCTTTAACATAATATAAACACAATGATTGTTGTTTGTTATGTTGTGCATGTATAAGTTAGATTTCTATGGCAGTACACAGCAATTTTGTAATGCAAAATGAAAAAAAAAAAAAGAAAAAAAATTTTTATACTATATTATATTATCAGAAATTGTTTTTAATCATTTCAATATTCTGAAAACATTCATAAAAATTATGAGTATTTGCCCAGACATGACCATTTTAAAATCTTGAAAAAGATCTGTTACTAAATTACAGTTTTGTCAGAAATTAATTAAAATATCAGAGGTACCATGTCAGAGACTTCTGTTGTGTATTTGCAGTCGTTGCGGCCAGCTCTGCTTAATGTACGAGAGATGTGTCACCGTATCAGTGATATGGGTCTGTGTAAGGTGGAGAAGGGCAACACGTACACCCTCACAGACTTCAAGGACGCACAGTTCAAACAGCTGGAGGAGGTAGGTGTGACTGATCTAGAGTCTTCATTTTATAATTCTTAGTTTTTAAAAACATTGTGTTATCATAGTAAAAAACAAAAACAAAACACTTCATGTGATTGCATAACCCAGGTGATCAGGTTTTACTATTTATTGCAATTAAAGAAAAATGTAAAATAAAAAAAGGAGAGAAAGAAAAATGAAAAAGAAGAAAGAATGGGGTCTTTTCCCCAGATATTTACCTTTAGACTATAAAATACTGCAACTGTGTCTGTTATTTGACAGGTTGCTGGTCGTTTGACTGAGTTCCGAGAGCTGGTTAAGGAGGTTGTACGCAGTGCTTGTAGAACTGCCCTACTAGAGGCAGGTTTCACCCCAGATGATTACTTCTATGATGGCGCTGAAAGTCCAGGACTCATGGGTATGAACATACTGAAAATAAGATAATTACTGAATCATGAGAGAAACTAAATATGTATTTTGATATACAATTCTAGCTGATTGGTTGTTATGTGATCATCTACTTTTTGCTATTTGATAGATAGTGAGCTTATTGATTATTTACTGTTTACAGGTGATTATTTGACTGTTGCTAGGTAACTGTTTACTGTTGCTAGGTGATAGTTTAATGTTGCCAAGAGATAAATCGCCAGGTTATTAATTAACTATTACAGTGTGATTATTTACTGTTGCTATGTGATTATTTACTGTTGCTAGGTGATCGTTTATTGTTGCTATGTGGTCGTTTATTGTTACTAGGTGATAATTCAGTGTTGCTAGGTGATAGTGTAATGTTGATATTCGATAGCATGCTGTTGCTAGGTGACTATTTACTTCTGTATGGTGATAGTTTATTGTTGCCAAGTGATAAATTTGCTGTTGCTAGGTGATTAAGTAACTATTGCTGTGTGATTATTACTGTAGTTTTGAGATAGTTTACTGTTGCTAGGTGACTGTTTACAGTTGTAAGGTGATACTTTAATGTTGCTAGGTGACTGTGTGTTGTTACTTGGTAGTTTTTGTCCATGTTGTGAGATGATATTTTAACATTACAGATGGTATCTTAATATTGCTAGGTGATATTTTGATGTTGCTAGGTGATAGTTTAATGTTGCTAGGTGATGGTTTGAAGTTGCTAGGTGATAGTTTAATGTTGCTAGGTGATGGTTTGATGTTGCTAGGTGATTGTTTATTGTTGCTAGGTGATTGTTTCATGTTGCTAGGTGATAGTTTAATGTTGCTAGGTGATAGTATAATGTTGCTAGGTGATTGTTTCATGTTGCTAGGTGATGGTTTGATGTTGCTAGGTGATAGTTTCATGTTGCTTGGTGATGGTTTCATGTTGCTAGGTGATAGTTGGATGTTGCTAGGTAATAGTTTACTGTTGCTATGTAAAATTTTACTGTTGCTAGGTAATATTTTACTGTTATTTTACTGTTAACTGTTGTTAGGTGATGCTGCTCCAGGGACATCCTCCAGTTATCTCATGCCTAGTAACTATGATATGGACATATATGGTGAAGCACCTGACAGGATGACTTACACTGAACAGGCCAACAAACGCTCTCACTGTAAACAGCTCACAAAGTAAGTTAATGATTCACATAGTAAGTCAACAACTCACAAAGTAAGTCAACAGCTCACAAAGTAAGTCAACAACTCACAAAGTAAGTCAACATCCCACAAGGTAAGTCAACACTCACAAGGTAAGTCAACAGCTCACAAAGTGAGTCAACAGCTCACAAGGTAAGTCAACACTCACAAGGTAAGTCAACAGCTCACAAAGTAAGTCAACAGCTCACAAAGTAAGTCAACAGCTCACAAAGTAAGTCAACAACTCACAAAGTAAGTCAACAGCTCACAAAGTAAGTCAACAGCTCACAAGGTAAGTCAACAGCTCACAAAGTAAGTCAACAGCTCACAAAGTAAGTCAACATCCCACAAAGTAAGTCAACAGCTCACAAAGTAAGTCAACAGCTCACAAAGTGAGTCAACAGCTCACAAAGTGAGTCAACAGCTCACAAGGTAAGTCAACAGCTCACAAAGTAAGTCAACAGCTCACAAGGTAAGTCAACAGCTCACAAGGTAAGTCAACAACTCACAAAGTGAGTCAACATCCCACAAAGTAAGTCCACAGCTCACAAAGTAAGTCAACAACTCACAAAGTAAGTCAACACAAAGTAAGTCAACACAAAGTAAGTCAACAACTCACAAGGTAAGTCAACAGCTCACAAAGTAAGTCAACAGCTCACAAAGCGAGTCAACAGCTCACAAGGTAAGTCAACAACTCACAAAGTAAGTCAAACAGCTCACAAAGTGAGTCAACAGTTCACAAAGTAAGTCCACAGCTTTTTTAGATATTCACCAAATAAGTCGACCAATGTTCACATTTCATATTGTTGTAAATGTTTCACTAAACTGGCCTTGCATTATTTCACAACTAAAACCGTCATTGTCGTGCTGTTGTAGCTTTATCCGTCTGGCAGATTACCTCATTGTAAACACGATGCATGTGTTGGCCGTAAACTCTGTATCCACACTTCTTAACTACCTCACGGAGCAGCTATCGTCCACACCGACCATCGCACAGATCCAGGCATTTGCAGACGAGGCCAAGGAAGAAGCTGATAAGCTGATTGAAAATGAGGACGGAGAGAAGGTAAAAAAAACCCCACCTCATTATACATCGGCTTACACACAAGAAACATGCATACATTTTCTTGGCGAGATATTGCAGTCAGCTCTCAGCCACTTTACACAAAATCAGCATGCTATTGATTCTGCTGTGTTTCAATAAAGTTTTGTTTTTAATCAATCTAATATATCTATATTTTTAAAGAAGTGTTTCTTAAATTTTTGTTGTGTGTGAACATCAGTAAAAAATCAATATATATATATATATATATATAAACATATAGATATATAAACAAACATCAAAACCCTAAATGAAGCCGTACTAATTTCAATGTAATGTTTCAATTTTACAGATGGGTTATTCTGTTGTATAATAAAACATTTGTTTCATTGAAAGAGTTTATAACCAATCAATATCTTGATATCAAATTTAGACAGCCAATCACAATGTAGAAGACATCAACATTTGAGAAATGTGACAGTTTTAAAATGCAATTTTTGCAGGCCAAGCATGCAGAAGTAAGCTGAATTTAGAATTTATGTTAAATTGTCGGTTTTAATGACCGACTCAATTAACACTCAGCCTGATTAATGACCTGGTATCAGTTATCATCCCTCTGTTGTCTCATTGTGTGGGCTTTGTTGCTTGGTAACATATCAAACTTTGATTCAAAGTCTGGTAAAGTTGTATATAGTAATACCAAATGTCCAAATTCACTCCAAGTCTCAACAATGTTTGAATTAACAATTTGTGTTACAGATGTGTTTGCTTTAACCTGCTTAATTGCAGTTGTGTTTTGATGTGTTGAACTTAAAAATTATTTCACAACAACCAATTTGTGGGGTACTATATTAAGTATCACTTGAATAAAAACTCCTGAAAATTAAGCATGATACAGTACACCAACAACCTTCCATGTCACGCATGCGTTTTAATTATTTTATTTTGTATAACTGGTGTGAACTTTTACTAAAACCTCGGGTAAAATAACATGATCTTTCAGCCTAAAAAGGATGAAAAAGAAAAAGTGAAAGAAGTTCCAAGTACTGATGCTACGGTAGGTGTTCTGACCTTTGACCTCTGCAATGTCAAAGGTCCTCTTCTCAAAATGTCTTGAGGTGTCAAAGGTCACCTTTTTGACCTGTTAAGGTCATCTTTCTTTGACCTTGGCATTTCCTGGGTTTCTTTGACCTGTGATGTTCAGTTCAAACCTTCTGTTTCTAAATTATCTACTGTAGCTGCTAACACATGTAGAACTACACACTGTTCTTACTTAGATACCTAGCTTAGAAATTATCACACTTCTCCAACTCATCCCTGATTTCTGGGTTTATAAACAAAGTCATCATCATCGGTTGCAAAATTAGAAAATTTTAGCTTTAAGACAAACTTAAATTTAAAATGAGCTTGAAATCAGTATTACAGCACTATAGAGATAAATGTTTCAAAGAAAGAAAATTGAAGTTTTTTGCTTCATGTTGAACATAATTTGATAAATATATGTCTTATTGGAAAAAAGAGTTTAAGGAAAATTTCATAGAGTCTCTCTTTAACAAACACGTAAGTATTTTATAGTTTTTAGAAATCTGAAGACTCGGTTGTTTCTGTTATCAGGCATTACATCAATTCTGCCATTTTGTAAATGTCATGAAGTATTTATAACTAGTGGGAGGAAGGCTTATTTCAGCCAATAATGATGGATTTTTATTGAATTTTTATTCTATGGTATTTGTGTCAAACTTAGGTATTATTGAAGACTCCTAACCTGCTGTTTTATTTTGTGACTTAATTTTTACCTGTTTTACCTAGTGACTTGTTGGCTGATTTTTTTTTCATTTAAAATTTCAAAGTTTGAGAAAAAGAAAAATGATATCTTGTATCGCTATCTAATGGAGACTTTTAATTTGACTTCAAATTTTGCTAAACTGAACCATTTTAAATTCTTACCATTTGTTTTTATAGTCAGAATTATACAAGATTTGCGTACATAGTTTCTGCTCTGAAAATGAGACATGTTACTTTTTATTGGTTCTGGTATGTAATTTTTAAAGCCTTGAATCCAACTGATGTAATGTTGTCAATCTGAGTTTAACAAAACTTTTATTGACCTCAAACCGAGTCAACAATTGTGTAATGAAAAGTCAGTATCACTTGGTAAGACCGGATAGAATACTGTTAGAAATCCATATACCGTATGTAGCAGTGGTGATGGTCGCTGAGAAAAGTTGAAAGTTATAACAGGTCAGAGGTCAATATTTTTATGTATAAGGGTTAGTATTAAGTTATTTATCGTTATTTGTAATGCTGTAAACAGTAATTGTTTTATTTTTACTATTTTTCTAAGAAACGTTAACCATTACGGCCATTTCTCTTAACCTCAATTCAAACTTTAATGTACATATGCTTGATAAAAAATATTTGCCTTAATCACTTATATTAAATGTTGCTGACATAATTATAAGAGAAAACCAGCAACAAAAAACAACAGTAAGTGACCAATCAGAAACAGCCTTACAAAAGCATTTTTTGAGAATTGATGGATTTCTACCTATGAAAATGTATGAAATATATATATATATATATATATATATATGTGGTATTGAAGAGGTTTATGATCATGTGACCTGTGTAATTTACTATTGGCTGCAAACTCAACAGGAAAATTTAGAGAATTCCCGTTACTGATATCGGAAAATGTCAACAGAAAGCAATACTTACAGGTATCATTGTGCTAAATTACACAAATAAAGACAGCGAGAGGAGAATGCTTACACCATTTCAGTAAAATGTTGAAAAAATCCTATGAAATATTGACAAATAAATTCAATAAAGTAGAAAATATAATCTAGAAATAATCAAATTCAAGCTTAAATTTCTTTGTAAAATAAAGAGTTCCAATCTGGTGAAGCAGTTGTCTCCCCTTTACGGTGCTCCCTCAAGGAAACTTATTTTGTTTCAATTTTCTACAGTAAATTCATGAAGTCAGTATGTACCTGTATATGACCTTTTTCTTAGATCTTAAGATAGACATATTTTATGAAAAATATTGAAAGTATGGAAGTAATCCAGAAAAAATACCTAGAATTCTCAAACTCTACTAGTGTTTTAGTTTTCTATTAACATGTAGTTCTTTGTAGTGCTAGAAGTTTTCCTTAGAGATTATTTATGATCACGCCAAATATAACAAATCTGTCAAGGTAACCGTATAGACTGTAAAAAATTATATTTTTCATGGTATCTGTTTCTTTTGATGGCAATAAATGGTAAAATTGCCAAAAACAGATTCTGTACCCTGAAGTCATAATTAGTACAGAGGAAGTCACAACCTTTGTATTTCAAGCTTTGTGTAAAACAGCAAAATTTTAGATCATTGAAAAAAAAACAACAAAAAACAAAAAAAAAACAAAGATAAAATTTACTGTACTCAATATTGTACTGTTATGTTATAGATTTGTGTCGCTGTTTTGAACAGTTATAAGAGTGGGTACTGCTCCAAGCAAGCATTGTAGAAATGCTTCAGAAAAAAAACTAAGTATCAAGATTGGACATTTATTACCCTGACAGATATCTTTCTATATTTGGTCATAGTTAATTTAAAACTTTTAGAACTTGGAATAAACTGTTTAACAACTTTTTCAGAGGATTTAGAATTCCTCTGACAGAATATCACAATAAGCTTGGGTTCATTTTTGATAAAAGTGTGTTATTTTGTGGTAGATAAATTTATTTGGACTTTCTGATGTGATATTATATTATGATAAATAACACAAAAATATTATGGATATTATGTTCATTATTATTTTTATGACAATTGAGAATGAAAGGTGTAATTTCATAATTTATACATAAATGATTCTATGTGTTTTTATGCATGACTGATTCTATGTGTTTTTATACATGAATGGTTATACATGTTTGTTAAGCCATATGTTTAATGTGTAGGACGTGGAGAAACATGCTGATTTTTTAGACAACAGTAGTGAGAAGGTTGTGGTAACATGTTTACATGTTTACAAAATGTGTTGTTTTTAGTTATGATGTTCACAGTGACTTTATCAAACAAAGAATTGTTATTTTGTTTAAAATTTTATTTAGAAATATTTTATTTTCAGAGTAAGGAATTGTCATTTTGTGTTGAAGTTGATTCTAGTGTTTTGTTTGTGTGATAAAAAAAGAAGTAAAATAAATTAATATTCAAGGTGCTGACAAAATTTTTGATTGGTAAAATATATTATTTAAAATAAGTTTGTATTCGCTTAATTAATGATAAGAAAATATTATACTTTCATAACAGGTAAATGATGAAGAAAACTTGATTGAGATCAGATGACCTTTTGACCTTTGTGATCAGATGACCTTTATGATTAGATGACCTATTGACCTTTATGATCGGATGACCTTTATAATTAAATGACCTTTATGATTAATTAGCAGGATGAGGATGAAGTTCCCCAGGCCCCGCCCCTCTTCATCACGGAGTTTGTTCTGGAACCAAACCAGCTTCTTTTCCAGCCAGATCTGGAGGATTTCCAGGAGGGACTGAAGGATGTCATACAGAAATTCCAGGATGCTGTGCTGTCTGTACAGAATCTTGTCCCTGATACTTACTTTGATGCCTTTACAAGGTAAATGCAATATTTTATAAAGACTAGTAGAATAGAGATTGCTTCAGTCCACCCAGCTGTTCAAATGACTACAACATTAGCGGGAAGTTATACAGACACCACCATTGGTTTGAATGTGTTCATTTGTCCAATGGGACAATGGGGCTTCCGTAGATATACAGTGCTATAAAATGAATTATTTTTCTCATAGCATTTTCATTTTTACTTTTTATTGTTTTAGAAGTGATAACTTTCATGAAAAATTGTAAATCAATTTACCGTCTTCTATGTTTTTATATTTTTTCTTACAGTATGTGTAATTTTCTCTGAAGCCACATCTAAAATGAAACATTCAGAAATTTTCTCTGTGTGATGTGGGCAAAAGATATCTTTAAGTTCAAAATAATGATTCAAAGTTGATTAAAATTCTTCATTGATTTTTTATTTAAGAAAGTCTGATAGAATTTTCAGTTAAGTTAATCAATTATGTTAGTTATTGACTGACATTTTTCAATAAGGCATTATCTATTTCAGTGAGAATTTGATTTTTGTTACTCTAACCTTTGATCTTTGGTCTACCCGAGAAATGTTTGATCGTAACGTTACAAGTCTAAAGACCCCTTTTGAAACTGATGCGATTTATAAAACTCTAGGTTATCTGAAAGATGTTGGTCTATATCATAGACTATGACTGTGTGTAAGACTAATAAAAACAATACAATAACCTTAAATGCCGTCATCTGCATGTTTATTGTCATGATTTAACATTCTGTTTATAATCATGATGTTAAGATTCTGTTTATTGTCATGATGTTAAGATTCTGTTTATTGTCATGATTTAACATTCTGTTTATAATCATGATGTTAAGATTCTGTTTATTGTCATGATTTAACATTCTGTTTATAATCATGATGTTAAAAATTTAACAATAACAATAACCTTAATTGCATGATTTAACATTCTGTTTCATGTTTATTGTCATGATTTAACATTCTGTTTATAATCATGATGTTAAGATTCTGTTTATTGTCATGATTTAACATTCTGTTTATAATCATGATGTTAAGATTCTGTTTATTGTCATGATTTAACATTCTGTTTATTGTCATGATGTTCATTCTGTTTATTGTCATGATGTTAAGATTCTGTTTATTGTCATGATTTAACATTCTGTTTATAATCATGATGTTAAGATTCTGTTTATTGTCATGAAATTCATTGACATCGGTATCTTTATTGTTTATGATCACAAGAAACTCTGAAAGTACCCACTGATATACTAACCAGATTTTTGGCACTGTTTGTTTTGTGACATGTTGCTTTTTGTTTAGGCCGATCATAAACAACAAGTTTGAGGAGAAGACATGCGGTGATGGACCAAGCCTCACCACCATGTTTGAGGACGACAAACATCTTAACACCATCATTGATAACATCAAGGTAAGTGACACCCACATTTTTCTGTCTGTTATAATAACAGCAATATGTAAATATGAAAGTAAATTTTAACTTGTCATTATTTAAAAACTGTGTTTTTACGGTATTATAATTCCAAATTAAATATTGCAGCTTATTTCCTTTGTAAGTAAATTTTAAACATATGTATCATTGATATCTAATGATTTATGCACTGACAGAACATTCCTTTAGAAATTTCCTTCAGTATACTGGGTTTTCCATAAGAGCCGGTCGCCGGCCAATTTGACCAGCTACTTTGATCATTTGGCCGCCTACACCAATCCAGTTCCGTAATAATGTTCCGTACAAGACTACACGTACACAACAGGCCAGCCTCCTACTTTCACTACACCGTCTACTTGTAACAAAAGTATGGAAAACCCTGAGTATATTTAGGTACTGAGATTTCCTGATAACTTTTTTGTTTGTTGTCAGGATGCTACAGCAGCCGCTTTCAACGCAGCCTCACAGTACGCAGACACCTTCGAGCCGCATCGTGAATTCTTCAGGGAAAATGAGAGTATGGACCTGGAGGCTGTCAAAACACGGGAGCATGGTAGGTTACAAATCACACCCAAAATTACTTACTGAGAATATTTAAGATGAACACAATAATGCAACAAATTTAAAATACCAAGACATCAACATAATCATTATCCAAACTCAGATTTAATAAAACTTAGGCAAAACATTAACAAAAGAAAGATTGGCATGGAGAAACAGTATAAGGAGAATAAGACCAGGTGTTCCTGATGAGTAGGCATCTTCTGCTTCATCGACAACACCTGCCATGTAAACCTTGGTCAAGCCTTTCTCAAATGAGAACAAGGTATACAACAACAGATCCAGCAGGCAAACTAACAAGAATCAAATGAGATCACTATGACGACCATAAAACTTCCCCATAATTTTTGAAACCCAATGTCTGTTGACTACTTCTTGCATGAAAATCACAATAATCAGAACAGGCCCTTGAATGTCAAATCAACCGCGAATTTAGAATTCCTGTATATCAGTAAAATTGTGATTCAAATCTGATGATAAGACATTTAGAACATATTAAAGGAAAGCTAGATCTACACACTCTTGAAGGAAAGTGATCTAGAAGAGTGTCACCTGTCTTGTCAATTAGACCTACTATTTGAATATAGGTGATATCACGTTCAGCATGTTTGAACAATAGTTGTACATAGATTAGACTGGTCCAACACTAAATACGTATGCATCATTTATGGACAAGGATGAACCTGACAATCTGTGATCAACCTCTGATTACTTGAATACTGGTATTCCTAGAACTATTGACATGGTCCCAGGGATCACATCTTAGCAGAGTTTTACTTTACTGTATATACATAAGTCACCTACACAACAACTACAGGCTGTAGATGTTAAATTTCATTCCCCGAAGTTTGTCTTTACGTCAGCATTTTGAAATTTTTTTTTTCCTTTTTGTCAAACATATGTTTTCTGTTGTTTAACAGATGTTGCATTCTTTACGGAGGCTTTGGAACGCTTCAATGGCCAGCATCGCATGGCCCAGGTGATCAAGGAAAAACGACCAATCGGGATGCTCCTTGTGGACGGCACCAAGATGAAGAACCTGTTGATACCTTCCCCGTTACGCTGTCTGGACGTAAGTTCTGCCGCAAGTAGTGTACAGCACTGCTGCTGTTAAAAAACAAAACTCAACATTGTAGCTCTAAAAACTGAGTCTTGTGTGATATGTTTCTGAATTTATTCTAAAATTCAGACATGACATATACATGTACATATAATTAGTTAACTTTCCAAATTTGGTATTCAGAGTATGAAAATATCTGTTTTTGAGAAAAATGTGTTGATTCTCTGTGTCAGTGATGAAACAGAATTGCTTTACTGATATCTATTTTATTTGTAGGTGGTGAACGATCTGCTGCCTATCAAGGCTCACAATGAAGTGAACCGTCTTATAGCTGAACTACAGGATGCTCAGTTTAAACTGGAATTTGCACCGACCACAACAATGGAGTTTGTGAAGACGCTTACATTCCTGGACGATATACAAGTCAGGGTGAGCCAATCTAACAAACATTTTGTTTATACAAAGAAAGTTGTTATTGCATGAGAATTATACTTTAATTCATCTTAACTGTGGTTATAAATAGATTTAAGTATTGGTATGTTACCTTTGTCTATCAAAAAGTAAGCAATTTCCACGGAGGGATACTGTTTTGCTTTCTGACTATAAATTATGAGATGGGTTTTTCACTGCAATCAGACTGACGATTCCTGGAGATTCTAGAGAATACCAAGCTTTCTCAGCGTCCTCCTTTCTCCTCACATTTGATATTATATATAGACTCCCTGTATATGTAAATTTATTACATAGCAATAGATGTTGATGGATTTATAACTGTACAAGAAGCGGTGTGGAGTTATCAGTAAGAGTTATCTCCCTTTGTTACAGATTGACCCAGCTGAGAAGGAGGCTATGGTAGTTAAGGATATGTATGAGTTGATAGACCTGTACAGTGTACCAACACCTCCAGAGGACTTCGCTGTCTACCAGGTAAACATAAATCACTGCGATATTGTTATAAGTTTGTGTAAACTTCAAAATTTCTATATTTTTCCTCTGAATTGTGATAAGTTGAACTCATCCAGGCGATACATATAGCACTGTTAAAAATTGAACTTTTTTACTCTGGTTTTTATTTAACCATTTTGATAATTTTCGAACAAAGTGAAGTTGAGGATCATCAATAAAATGTGAAGATTTTGAATCTAAAGCAAATAACGTTGTAAGTTAAACGTGGAATGATTCTTGAATAGAATAATGAAATTATGAAAAAGTTGAGGATGATATAGTGTTGTTATTGTAAGTTTGTTTCTGTTGTGTAGACACTTGGCCCAAGTATTACAAATGTGCGTAATGCCATTGACAAGAGTTTGACAGAACGAGATGCCAACATTGACAAGTTCTGCACCCACCTTGACAAGGATATTGCTGAACTGGCAAAGGAGGTCAAGGAGGTTAAACAGGAGGCACAGGTAAGAGGTCAAGGGTCAAAAATGCTAAAAGATGAAATGAGAATATTGAAAGTGATTTTTACAGTGTGTAGCATGTTGTTTTCATTTCTACAGAACACAAAACTTGTGATTTTTACAAAACTTGTGTGTGAACAGCTAGATGTTGTTTTCAAAACTTGTATAAGACAAAACTTGTATGAACAGCTAAGTGGAGACAAAACTTGCATGAACTGTTGTCACCATACAAAACTTGTATAAGACAAAACTTGTATGAACAGTTAGATGGAGACAAAACTTGTATGAGTTGTTGTCACCAGACAAAACTTGTATGAACAGCAAAGTGGAGACAAAATTTGCATGAACTGTTATCACCATACAAAACTTGTATAAGACAAAACTTGCATGAACTGTTGTCACCATACAAAACTTGTATAAGACAAAACTTGTATGAACAGCTAAGTGGAGACAAAACTTGCATGAACTGTTGTCACCATACAAAACTTGTATAAGACAAAATTTGCATGAACTGTTGTCACCATACAAAACTTGTATAAGACAAAATTTGCATGAACTGTTGTCACCATACAAAACTTGTATAAGACAAAACGTATGAACAGTTAGATGGAGACCAAACTTGTATGAACAGCTAGCATAAGACAAAACTGATATGAACTACAAGTATCAGACGAAACTTGTATGACCTTGTTCTTTGTTTTAGAACCCTATGATCTTGGATGTGAACTCTGAGAAGGACAAAGTGCGTAACATTCTGTCAAGGTTATTGACACAGATGGATGACCTTCAGAAACGTGCCTTCACCTACAAATCCTACCAAAAGAACTTTAAGGTGGAGGTAACGAAGTTTGATGCACTGGAGGAAGCACACGCAGAACTCAAACTGAAGGAGTTGCTGTGGACAGCCATTGACGACTGGGATAAACTACTGTTGGATTGGACGACTGTTCCATTTGAGACGCTGGATCCCGAAGCCATGAATGCGACTACGATGAAGTATGCCAAGTCTGTGATGCAGTTAGAGAAAGGACTTCCACCTAACCAGGTTGTACCAGTATTGAAAGAAAAGGTGGAGGAGATGAGAGAAAGGGTAAGTTGATATTCTGATGATAGGGTGGGGAGCTGGAGTTCACTTACATCTCTCATATATGTATCTCATATAAAAAATCTTGTCAGATTAGAATAAGCCTTATCAGATTTTGAATAGTAAATTTTTTCTGAAAATAGCCTCAATTTAGAAAGAATTTTGCTAAATATAGAAAGTGATGGCACTGTTTTCACATGATGACTGATATTGAAATGTTTCATCAAACTGCTACTCATTGGATGAAAATCTTTGAAGTGAACATTTATAGGAAACAGATTATAACATTGAATCACTCCAAATGAACTTCGTTATAGCTCTGAAACAATTATTCTGCTTAAAGAAAGATTGTGGGTCTTCTGAGACCATTTCTGAAGGCAAAAAGTGTTTCTGAGAGGAGATAATTTTAATCAAAATTCATGAAGACCTGCATCGAAATGTTGGTCAGACAGTATGCACTCTAAAGTTGTGTTTTGTTGTGAAAAGACATTTAAGAGAAAAAGTAGTTGTGACCTAACAATGGATTAACATTGATCGACAATTGTAACATTCTGGTTTACATTGCAGCTGCCTGTGATAACAGACCTTCGAAACCCCACTCTGAAACCTCGCCACTGGGAAATGATTGAGAACATACTTGATCACAAATTTACTCCGGAGGATCCTTTGACTTTTGGAAAACTTACGGAGATACAGGCCTTCAAGAGTGCTGAAGCCCTCCAAGAGATCTCTGGCAAGGCTAGTTCTGAAGCCAGTCTTGAAAGCATCCTCAAGAAGGTAAGATCTATGACATTTAGTTCATCTTATTGTGCTGGAAATAAGCCCACAAGTGGCTGTTACATTTAAATAAATAAATAGGACAAAAGCTGTTGTATGTTTATTCTGTGTATGTATCCTGTGTTTTTGAGTCACAGAACATGTTAAGGCTCCTTGCTCTTTTGAAGCATAAATATTGTTATATGTTACCATATTTATCCAGTAATAAGCCAACCCCATATATTTTGTTATTAAGTAGAATCGATAACAAATACGATATATTGGTCTATTAATAAACCTGCCCATTGACTTTTAGTCGGAGATTATATGTCGACTCCTGGATTTTGTCCTGAATAAATACCATTCTTTGTGTTAGGATAGATTTTCAGGCACCATATAATTATATAGAAGATGCAATGTAAGAATTCCTGTTGTAGGTCGAGGATTCCTGGAAGACAACAGAATTTATGGTACTTTACCACAAAGATAGCAAGGATGTGTTCATTCTTGGTGGAACAGATGAAATCCAACAGCTCCTTGACGACAGCAACATCAACATAGCAACCATTGCCAGCTCTCGTCATGTTGGACCAATTAAATCTCGTGTGGATGACTGGGTCAAACAGCTTGATCTCTTTGGAAAGACCTTGGTAGGAAATATCTCTTTTTGTATTTTTCTGATTTTGATAGAAATAGATTTTTGAATTTTTTAAGCAAGGTCATATGCTGTTGATACCCTAAACATTCATAAACAATCCAAGTTTAAAAATAGATTCTAACATGAATAAGTATGAATTTACTTACTATTAAATCAAGCAGTGCCTTACTTTTAAGATTTTATGTAAATCATGATTTCCAGTCTGTAAATGATAAGGTATTGAACTATACAACATATGAAACCATAAAACCATAAATAAAAAGGATGGAGTTTCATATAAATACAAAAAAAACATTTTCCAGCGAGAAGTTTTGGAAAAGTTCATTAAATGGAGTCTGACTTTTTGTATTGAAATCTGGTTACAAGATCAAAAAGAAAAGTTATCAGAAGGAACATTGACAAAGTTATCACAGGAAACATTGAATAAGTTATCACAGGGAACATTGAATAAGTTATCACAGGGAACATTGAATAAGTTATCACAGGGAACATTGAATAAGTTATCACAGGGAACATTGAATAAGTTATCACAGGGAACATTGAATAAGTTATCACAGGGAACATTGAATAAGTTATCACAGGGAACATTGAATAAGTTATCACTGGGAACATTGAATAAGTTATCACAGGGAACATTGAATAAGTTATCACAGGGAACATTGAATAAGTTATCACAAGGAACATTGAATAAGTTATCACAGGGAACATTGAATAAGTTATCACAGGGAACATTGAATAAGTTATCACTGGGAACATTGAATAAGTTATTACAAGGAACATTGAATAAGTTATCACAGGGAACATTGAATAAGTTATCATGAGGAACATTGAATAAGTTATCACAGGGAACATTGAATAAGTTATCACAGGGAACATTGAATAAGTTATCACAGGGAACATTGAATAAGTTATCACAGGGAACATTGAATAAGTTATCACAGGGAACATTGAATAATTTATCACAGGGAACATTGAATAGGTTATCACAGGAACATTGAATAAGTTAACATGAGGAACATTGAATAAGTTATCACAGGGAACATTGAATAAGTTATTACAAGGAACATTGAATAAGTTATCACAGGGAACATTGAATAATTTATCACAGGGAACATTGAATAGGTTATCACAGGAACATTGAATAAGTTAACATGAGGAACATTGAATAAGTTATCACAGGGAACATTGAATAAGTTATCACAAGGAACAAATAAATAACAGAAATTGGAAGGAAAATTAAAAATGTTTCATAATGATTAAATGAAATGAAAATCTATTTCTTACACATGTTTATGACTGTCCATGTTTAGGATGAATGGCTGAACTGCCAGAGATCCTGGCTGTATTTGGAGTCGATCTTTAGTGCCCCCGACATACAGCGTCAGCTTCCAGCGGAGGCAAAAATGTTCATGCAGGTGGACAAATCCTACAAAGACATTATGAGGAAGGTAAACAAGGTGCCACTAGCCATCCGTGCAGCTACACAGCCTGGACTTTTGGAGACATTCCAGAACAACAATGCCCTCCTTGACCAGATCCAGAAGTGTCTTGAGGCTTACCTAGAATCAAAACGAGCCATCTTCCCACGGTAAAAACTTGTCCAAAATTTGTCTATTATAATATTGGGGTAATTAATGTTTCTTGTCCAAATGCTGGTTTTTCCAAAATTGTACATAAAACCAAATTACAAATGTTATAACATCAATACAATAACTCAACTTAGTATGTCATGTGATCTTGTAATTGTTCTCTGACCTTTGACTTATGGAGTCATACATATCTGATGGCCTCTTATTGACCTTTGACCTCAGGTTTTACTTCCTGTCTAACGATGAGTTGCTGGAGATTCTGGCCCAGACTAGGAACCCCTTAGCAGTACAACCCCATCTCCGGAAGTGCTTCGATGCCATTGCCAAATTGGAGTTTGGCATTCAGTCAGAGCAGACTGGTCAGTATATATCTGTTGGCTATAGATTGGAGTGGTCAGTTCATGTGGTAATTGACTTGCTGAAATGGTCAAGCATGAATTAGGATTGCCAAAAAATCAGTAGTTAATAGAAATACCTACAGGAAAAACATATTTCAGTATATGAAGTTCCGATGCATTTCAGCTTTCAAAAATGATCAGTTTAAAAACGATGCAAAAAATGTATTAAGAAGGTGACAAATTGTATGTCGCTCACAGTATATTCAAATCAGTTGTAAACTGATAATATTTTGTTGGATTTCAAGGACTCAATATTCCAATATATATTTGTGTAAATAACTTTGCTTGTTAATGTTTTACATGTGTGGTCTCTGACTTACAGAAGATCAAGAAGTACAGTACAGTAACGACATTCTTGCCATGGTGTCACCAGAGAGTGAGAAAGTCAGCCTCGGCAGGGTATGTCACAATCTACATCCTATATATTGAACGACTTTTCAGAAATATGTGAATCACTATTCAGTATTTCAAAATTATTTTGATGTTAAAGATATTCATTAAATAATGACCACCAGATGTTTTTGTGTAGTGGTTCCGTGACTGTCTATATGGACAATCTATTGTCCGTGTAATTTTCAAGAACCTTTTGTTTTGTCATTGACTGCTGTTTGTACATTTCAGGGGCTGAAGGCCAGAGGTAACGTGGAAGACTGGCTTGGAAAGGTAGAGGAAGCCATGTTTTCTAATCTTCGTCGTCTCACCAAGGCGGCCATTGGTGACTTTGAGAAACGTCCTCGTAAGGAATGGGTTGTCTCCCATGCTTCTCAGGTATGTCAAAGCTTCTTTAGTTTTGTTACAATAACGTGATGTATTTTATACTCCATTCAATATGTCACAAATTGTTCCTTGTAGAGTTAATCAAATTTGGACTTTTTGATATTCTGTTAAGAGATTCTAATAATCAATTTGGAGATTTTGATAATCTATTTGGCGATTTTAAATTGATTTATGTTTACAATAGGGAGAAAAAGCTTTGTATGAAATTTCTCTCGAAAAATTTAAAGGGTTCGCAAGAATGTTTTCCCTTAATAAATTTTTTGGGAATTGACAACAAAATGGCCAGACTTTTCCTTGTTTGTAAAAATTAATGTTGATAGCGAGTAGAATTAGACTGTCTTCTAAACAAATCTGATTTAAATAAAATAACTTGTCAAATCAAGTGACAACTTGGTCTGATTGTTTATAAATGTTTGATGACTGTGAACGAAGTTTAATATTTGTGTGTCTTGTTCCAGATTGTGCTGGCAGTGTCACAAATTGTCTGGTGTCGGGATGTGACAGAAATTTTAGAAAGCGACACATTTGACCGCGTAGAGGGAATGAAAGAATTTGAACAGAAAAACTTTAGAGTGAGTATGAATAAAAATGATATTAAAGGTCACCCTAGCATTTTTAATGTATTGATAATGATGTATTGATTGTGATATGAGTTTTGTATGTTTATAGATGCAATATTTAACTGGAACATAGTTATTGTATTTAACTTCTACTTAACTCGGTTTTGATTCAATAATCAAGAAATCCCCATTTTATTTTACTTGTTTTTACAAAGCCATTATCATAATGATAATGATTTCAATTATTCATAGGATCTGAATGAGTTGGCTAGTGTTGTGCGCCAGGAAATCCCCAAACTAGCGCGTGCAAACCTGTGTGCCCTGATCACCATTGACGTACACGGTAGAGATATGATCACGGAGATGTGTCAAAACAAGGTACGACGGAGGAAGTCGGACAAATATATATTGGGAATTGAGGGCAAGGATATATTGGGAATTGAGGGCAAGGATATATTGGGAATTGAGGGCAAGGATATATGGTGAAGTGAGGGCAAGGATATGTTGGGAAGTGAGGGCAAGAATATGTTGGGAAGTGAGGGCAAAGATATGAGGGGAAGTGAGGGCAAGGTTATGTGGGGAGGTGAGGGCAAGGATGTGTGGGGAAATGAGGGCAAGGATATATGGGGAAGTGAGGGCAAGGTTATATTGGGAAGTGAGGGCAGTGATATGTTGTTTACATTTAAGTGAGGAGTAGGATATTAAAAAAATATGATTTGTAAAAAATTGAGGTCTTCAACAAAGTGGAAAGAAAAATTGATTGAACATTTAGTAAAACATCAGAATCATTGTTGAGAAGGAAAACTTTTTTATATTGGTGAGGATACAGAAGTAAAAAGTAAGGCCCATTGTTGCCCTTCAGGAATATTCTGAAAAAAAACATCGGGCTGTGTGGCAGGAAAATGGAATATAATTCTCAGTTATATTTCTTGCCTTTATGATTAATATAACACCAGGGGTAATTTTATATAGCTTGCTAAAATGATATATTGGGAGTTATTTTTGTAACAGCAGCATACCATGTTTTTAAGGTGGATGACGTCAACAGCTTTGAGTGGCAGAAGCAGCTGCGCTATTACTGGGACCTTGAGATTGACAACTGTGCTATCCGTATGTCAAACTCCCTGTATGTGTGTGGGTATGAGTATCTGGGGGCTTCAGCTCGTCTGGTCATCACTCCACTCACTGATCGCTGCTATCTATGTCTGATGGGGGCACTACAGCTTGACCTGGGTGGGGCCCCAGCAGGTCCGGCAGGAACAGGAAAGACTGAGACCACAAAAGATCTTGCTAAAGCCCTGTCTAAACAGTGTGTTGTCTTCAACTGCTCCGATGGTCTCGACTACAAGGTATATAGGGTTTAAGGCCTTGGTCTTCTATTGAAACGGAAAGGTTGTAGATAAAAAGGGAAAAAAGAGCTAGAAATTAAGAACATAAAAATGACTCATTGCCACACGTTTTAGGGATAATTAAAAAATTAAAGTAAAAATTTGATGAGAAAAAGTAAAACATTTATTTCAGTAAGGTAAATATTTTCTAAAGTGATGTAAATTTTTAATCTTCATCCTTATGAAACTAAGTACAAATGGATTTGACTAATAACTGGAATATGTTTTTGTTTGTTTGCTTCACAAGGATTTTAATTCTTTTATTGCCTTCAACATCAAGAAACAAATTCTTTTTCATTTACTTTGTATGTTTGTTGACTTTTTTTAAAGATTCACGAAAAAAAAGCTGAACTTCTTTGGAGATGAAATTATATGTTTAATATGGTTGAAATTGATGTGTGTGGTGTTTCGCAGATGATGGGTCGTTTCTTCTCTGGCCTGGCTCAGTCTGGTGCCTGGTGCTGCTTCGACGAGTTCAACCGGATTGACATTGAGGTGTTGTCTGTGATTGCCCAGCAGTTGATTACAATCAGAAATGCCAAAGCTGCCAAAGTATGTTATATCACTGCCATGGGGTACCTCTTGGTACTTCATAATCTATTGGTCACTAAAAATAGCAAAAGTTTGCTTAAAATATATGACAAAATTTTCTGAGTTTAAATCTTGACCTCATCCTAATGAAGTTATTTGGAAGATACAATAGAAGAAGAAGAGAAATTTCAGCTTTCTCTGATTGGTGGAGATTTTCATTACCTGTTTCTGATTGGTCAATAGGTATCAAGATTCATGTTTGAGGGCCGTGAGATCAAACTTATCTCCACATGCGCTGCCTTCATCACAATGAACCCAGGATATGCTGGTCGTACTGAACTACCTGACAACCTTAAAGCACTGTTCCGACCCTTCGCTATGATGGTGCCCGACTATCGTACGTAATTAATGTAGATTTCGTTTACACACAATTTCATGATACATGTTTTGTTTGTTTGTTTGTTTGTTTGTTTATGAAGAATTTAATTCATTTATGGGTCTCAATATTATTTCTGATTTATTTACTTGATGAGTTTGTTGGCTTTCATATTTTTTTTGTGGGGGGTGGTAATGTTGAGGAAGACAAGTTAGATAAACATGGATTTTCTTTGTACACAGGTTTAATCGCAGAAGTGATCCTCTACTCTGAGGGTTTTGAATCCTCCAAGAATCTGGCTCAGAAAATGACCCAGATGTACAAGTTGTGTAGTGAACAGCTCTCCCAGCAGGATCATTATGACTTTGGTATGCGTGCCGTGAAATCTGTGCTTGTGATGGCAGGAGCACTGAAGAGACAGAATCCTGACAAGAGTGAGGATGTAGTGTTGATTCGTGCACTCAGGGACAGTAATCTGCCGAAATTTCTCCAACAGGATGCTCTCCTGTTCCAGGTCAGAAAACTGACACTGTAATGATTTGTACATAAATCTGTCACAGATTTGGAAAAGCTTCTCAGAGCTTTAAATATTTAAGTAAAAGTGATAGTTAACTTCAGCGCTGATATTGAAGATCATCGTTTTTAATTGATAAGCTATGTAAAGTCATTCTAAAAATATTGAGAATGTTCAACAATCGTTGCATACTTACAAGGGTAGAAAAGTATCAAATTTTATCTGTGACTTCAATAAATTATAAAGCATAGAACAGAAACAGGATGAAAAGTTTCCAGGGGTGGGCTTATTACTGGACAATATTTATTACTAGGTATGGGTCGCTGGGTTAATATTTTACTTTTCAAGGCTATATATATATATCAATGTTCTTACACAATAACAGGCCATTTTACAAGATCTGTTCCCTGGCGTCGAGATTCCGGAACACGACTACGGACGTCTACGTGAGGAAATCATTAATGTGATTGAGGCGAAGAATCTACAGGTAGTGGAAACCCAGATCACCAAAATCATACAGCTGTATGAGACCATGGTGGTACGACATGGGGTCATGCTGGTTGGACCGACCGGGGGCGGCAAGACTAGTGTTTACAATGTTAGTATCTACCTTATAACTGGTAACTTTCATCACTCCTGATTTTCATGGTTTTTTTTATTTTCTTTTAAAATGATTGAATCATATTTCAACAAAATAAAATTTTGCAATTTTGATGCAAAAGGACATCTGATCAACGCATTTCTCATCATTTCACAAATTATATTTTCGTGATCTTGATTGTGTATCGTGAAATAGCTAGAGTATCATGCCTGTATGGCACTTTTCTTCGCTGTCTTTGTAAAGGATATTTCTTTAAAGTTATGAGAAAGAGTTCAAACTGAGATTGAATCTAGAGTGATATCACATATGTATCTTCTTTCTTATTTTGGCTTTTCTATTCTCCGTGAAAAAATCTTTGTTAAGTGAGAAAATGATCAGATAAAATCTCAGGAAGGTCGTTGGAGGTCAACTTTGTTACAGACTGTTCATATCACAGGTTTTAGCACCATAGTCAGTGAAATTTTGACAAGAGATGGCTTAATATAATCTTGTTGCCAGATCCATTTTCAATTTTATAATTTGTGTATGTGTATGTTGTAATTGAAAATCTGAAAATAAAATATTGTTTAAACCAATTTTGACAAGAGTTTGATGAAAGAATACAAGATTCGTTGAGTCCCAAGTTAAATCGGTTGTAAAAATATGGTTTGATATTTTGCAGATACTCGGAGACACACTGACCAATCTCCACACCGCCAAAGTGGACAACTATTTCTACCAACCTGTACACACATATGTAATGAACCCGAAGGCCATCACCATGGAGGAGTTGTACGGAGGAGTCAACAAACTCACGCTGGAGTGGGCAGACGGCCTCATGGCCATCACTGTTAGGAAATGTGTCAACGTATGTAATTCTCGTTTTACCGTTTTTCATAAAAACCCGTAACAGTGTTTTTCTCTACGTCTTTCTTTCTTATTATTACGTTTGTCTGTTTTTGCCGTCATAGAAGTCGGAAATTCATGTGTCAGAATTTTATTGTCGTAGTGTTTCTTTATTTGGAATTATTCAAGCTGATGGTTGAGCTGATAAAGTATTTTATATCACATTTTAATGTGATTATGATGTTGACAGGACACAACGGAGGACCATCAGTGGGTGATATGTGACGGTCCAGTTGATGCCCTTTGGATTGAGAACATGAATACTGTGCTGGATGATAACAAGATGTTGTGTCTTGCCAACAGTGAACGAATCAAATTCACCCCGTTCATTCACATGTTGTTTGAAGTTCAGGACTTAGCCGTGGCCTCACCTGCCACTGTCAGTCGCTGTGGTATGGTGTTTATTGATCCCGGAGAGCTAAAATGGCTACCGTTTGTCCAGACTTGGATTACAAATTTCTCAGAGAAGATGAAGCCGGAGACTTCTGAATATCTACTAGAACTGTTCAAGAAGTATGTGGAATCTGGCCTGGTCTTTGTCCACAAGAAGTGTACTCAAGCCATTAACCAGGTATATACTTATGGTCAAAACTGACCGAGTGTAATTATGGTCAATACTGACCGAGTGTACTTATGGTCAAAACTGACCGAGTGTAATTATGGTCAAAACTGACCGAGTGTAATTATGGTCAATACTGACCGAGTGTACTTATGGTCAAAACTGACCGAGTGTAATTATGGTCAATACTGACCGAGTGTATTGAAGGTCAAGACTGACCAATGCCCAAAAAGCTTGTATTGGAGACTTAAACTGTTGATATGTTCATCTGCACTTCAGTATACACATTGACGTTAAATTCATCTCCATATCTATTTATTTTCTTTTCAATATTCCAGATTCTGAAATGTTTTCTCCAGTTTAGTGCAAAATGGGTCAAACTAGATTGATCGAGTCACATTTATTCATGAAAAATAAGTGAGTGTTTTTGTGTGGCCATTGAATATTATTGATGTATATCAGTTTGTATCGTGTGTAACTATAAATTACAGGTTGACATCAACAAGGTCTCCATGTTGTGTAAGCTGCTCGAGTCTCTATTGTTCCAACGAGGAGGCCCTGACTTGAGTATGGACCCCAGCAAACTTAACATCATTATATGTACGACCTTCGTATTCTGCTATGTCTGGTCCATCGGAGGTAACCTCATCGAGACAAACTGGGATGCTTTTGACTCGTTCTGTCGCAATCTGTTTGATGATAACGGTGATGCCAAGGTAACTAACTGCTAGGATCCACTGTCATAACCATTTTTGTCTGTCATCCAGAATCTCCACATTATTCCATCTTTATACAATAACATTGACAGTTACATGGTAATCATTTCATCAATGTATCCGTCTTTTTAAGTTAAAGTCTTTGTATAAAATATCAGCATCTCAACTGATTATCTTCATATTTACACCATAGTCATGTCGTTCGCCTGAGTACCGGTAAGTGTGGGAGGTCAATGGTCAAGGTTTCAGGGTCAAAGGTCAACCTGTATCATTTGAAATAAAAGGTGATATACAAGAATATTCATTTATCTTTTTTAATGACATATTAAGTTGACACGATTGCTCCAAAACAATGTGTAACATAGAGTTTTAATCCGATTAGATTTTGCTGTACATAAATCATGGTTGAAGGGTCAAAGGTCACTTTTGAGCACTATATATCTCATTGACCTCTGAAACACTGAACTTCACATTCTCACAATTAAAACTTGGTGGCCATGCATTAGTCACGGTCAAATGGTCAAAGATCAAACTTGACCACCATTTTCAAAATTTGGAATGCATTAGTCATGGTCAAATGGTCAAAGATCAAACTTGACCACCATTTTCAAAATTTGGAACATGTACAGCATTTCCTGTTGAGAGGTTGATGAACAAGACATAACTACAGAAGGCTTTTTACCATTACAGTTACCAGCCGGAGGGGATCTGTGGAGTTGTTATATGGACTTTGAGACACGTCGAATGGACAACTGGGAGAAGATAGTGCCTGCCTTTAAGTATGATAAGGAGATGCCATTCTTTGAGATGTTGGTACCTACTGTTGATACAGTGCGCTTTGGATACCTACTACAGAAGTTATTAGCCGTGCGATTCTCAGTTCTATTCACTGGAGGAACTGGCGTTGGCAAGGTAAAGATTATCAAACAGAGGCATGTTCCTTGGCTCACTGACCTGAAGGGTCAAGGTGCAGCGTTAGTACTGTACCTTTAAACCTGTAGCATGCTGGGTTGAGGGGATCTTTGCTAGCCAAGGTCTCGATTCGCTTCTCTCTTCTCGAGACCTTGGCTAGCGAAGATGGGTTGAGGGACTTCCAGACTTGTTTAAATGGGTTTTCAAGGTCACAGGGGTCAATTTCTGTCCTGACAAGGAAGGTATCCAATACATTGTAATTTTAAATGGTATCCCAAAGAAAGATGTTCTGTCATTTCAGGGAGAAAAGTTCTGAATTTTAAGTGAAACAGTAATTTTTTTTTCTAATGAAACGTTATTGCAAATGTGTTTTACAGTCTGTGATAGCAAGAGGCCTGCTGAACAATATCGCAGAGAAAGCTGATTACGTGCCCGTCTTCATCAACTTCTCAGCTCAGACCAGCAGCAAACGTACCCAGGAAATGATTGAGGGCAAACTAGAGAAGAGAAGGAAAAATGTCATTGGTAAGTCATAGTTCAAGGTCATCAGTTATCTGTAAAGACATTTTCCTGTCTTCCGTGCATTTGTTGATAAACATACAGTATACTTATATATACAAATATAACAAATTTCTTTTTATAAAATTTGGGAAAATATTTTTGTTTACCTTCACAATTTTTCAAACATTTATAAGTTGTCTTTTTAATTGCTTCTTCAAATTAAACCTCAACTTTTTTTCGTGTTGAACTTTTAAGTGACCTTTGACCTTATCACTTAATTTGCTTGATCTTAATGACTCTTAACTCCATTTAATGTTCCCAGAATTGTCGACATGATTTTATTTGGCCTCAGCTGTTGGACTGTTGTAACAAGAAGGCTTCATCAGTTCATATCTAATCAAAATTGTTGATGGTTTGTGTTATTTCTCTGTCTAGGTGCGCCGACTGGAAAACGAGTAATCATCTTCATTGATGATCTCAACATGCCAAAACTAGACACATATGGATCACAGCCTCCAATTGAACTTCTACGACAGTACCAAGATTTTGGTGGCATGTACGACCGTCAAAAACTCAACTGGAAGGAGATTCAGGTTCAAATTTCCTGTGATTTTGTTTTATTTTTTATATTCCGGTACAAATAATTTGTCTGAAAACCGTGTACATGTAATTGTAAAGAAATGTCTTTGATTCCTAAAAATACACACATTTCTTATGAGGATACGCCTTGTTTAACTCTTGATGTTTACGTTATTTTTAGGACGTAACACTGGCAGCTGCATGTGCGCCCCCTGGTGGTGGCCGTAATCCTGTGTCACCCAGAATGTTCCGTCATTTTGCCATGCTGTGTATTCCCTCACCTTCGGAACACAGTCTGAAGCACATGTTTATGGTGAGATCGATATCGTATTTTACTTCACAAATCTTATGAGGGGAGAAATACCTGAACCGAAATTATCTGTCCGTCCATATGTCCAAAATCTATTTTCTGTCCTTTAATATCCACTTAGTATCACTGAACCATAGTCGATATGGCTACCATTTTATGTAGTTTAACCTCTGCTTGCTTGTCATGTAACTCTTTATTGAGTTGTTGTCCTTCCCTACACAGCTATTGTCCCTGAAGATTTTTATTCAGTGTTTTGAAATCAGATACATAGCTGTTTGACTGCTAACTTTTACTTTATATATCTATCCTATCTGATGGAGCTCAAGTGTTATATAACATGATCATGATGAAGTTTTAGTTTTATATTTGAGAGAATTCCGGCAAAAAAAGATGACCCCATTGAATATTTAATCTTATGATTGCAGCAAATTTTGACTGGGTTCCTCATGGATTTCCCGACCTCAGTACGACAGTGCACAGAGTCGATTGTTACTGCGGCAGTGGAGATTTACGGGAGAATGTACACAGACTTACTCCCCACACCCGCAAAGTCTCACTATGTCTTCAACCTCCGAGATCTCTCCAAATGTGTACAGGGTAGGTATCTTATGGGGGAGCTGATCTGATCAATGACTCAATCTTTATTAGGAAGTTTAATTGCCCTTGACCTCTTAATTAGGAAGTTTAATTGACATGCCCTTGACCTCTTCACTAGGTTTAATTGACATAACCTTGACATTTTCAGTAGGAGGTTTAATTGACATGCCCTTGACCTCTTCACTAGGTTTAATTGACATAACTTTGACATTTTCAGTAGGAGGTTTAATTGACAAAGCCTTGACCTCTTTAGTAGGAGGTTGCATTAAAGTGACCTTTGATGTGACCTTGACATCCTGCAGTCAGAGATAAAATTGAAATGACCTTGACCTCTATTTACAGGTGTACTCCAGGCTGACACAGGTGTGATCAGAGACAATAAGCAGATGTTCCGTCTGTTCTGTCATGAGGCCATGCGTGTGTTCCACGACCGACTTATTAACAATGAAGACAAACAGTACTTCTATACGATCCTGGCAGAGATGGCTAGCAAACATTTTGGAGAGGTACATACAGTTTAAGAATCGGTCACTTGAAATTGTAACAGATATAAAATTCTAACATGTTAGTTGTCTATAATTCGAGCAGACTCAGTCATATGGTAATTTCCATTACTGACAGAACTTTTGACAATAAGATTGATTAGAGCATGAGGAGTTTAATCATGGAAGATTTCAGATTGAATCAAAATTGAAAATTGGTCAAACTTTCATATGTCTGTTTAGGATTTATCAGATATGTTTTAAACCTTATCACAATAATACTGAAATAAAACAGGTAGAAAGTAGGATCCATTTATCATGTTTGGTCTTCTGTCTGTCAATCACAGAATGTGGAGCCAGACTCTTTCTCGGCTAACCCAATTCTGTTTGGAGACTTCATTAAGATGGGTGCTGATGCCGCAGACCGTTTGTATGAAGAACTGGAATTGAAGAAAGTTAAAAGTGTGCTGCAAGATGTAAGTTGTTGTCTCTTCATAAACCTGGTTATCTAATATAATTTTACCCCCCAGTAAAACAAAGAAATGTCTGTCCCTTACAAAATGTCTGACTGTGTGTCTTATCACTTCAGAATGATAACTTCTCATGATAAATTGAGAGTTGATGATCCATCTTAATTAAGGAAGAGAAATCTATTGATTTTGTACATGGTGTTATAAAGAACGGAATCTGAAGGAAGGGAGAGAACTCTATTGATTTTGTGTGTGCTGTGATAAAGATCGAGATCTGAAGGCAGGGAGAAAATTCTCTATTACATGGTGTTATAAAGATCGGAATCTGAAGGAAGGGAGAAAACTATTGATTTTGTATATGCTGTGATAAAGATCGAGATATTTTGATACATATTTTTTTCTTACTTACTTTAAAAGTTTTGTTTGCAATAATGCAGACATATTGGCTCACTACAGACCCCTGTTTTTTGTGTCACTTGTATATCTAATTAGCACTCATTAACGCCTTCTAATGTTTTTTCAGTACCTGGATGATTTCAACATGCAATCCTCAAAGGAGATGAAGCTAGTGTTTTTCATGGACGCTATCGAACATGTGTCACGTATTACTCGAATGATCCGACAGGAGCGAGGCAACGCCCTTCTTGTTGGTGTTGGTGGTACTGGTAAACAGTCCCTCACCAGGTATGTAAACTATTGTGCAAATTGTCAAGACTTTAGTGAGTTATATTTCTTTTTACTTAACCCTTTCTGTGCCAATCATCTCTTACAATGTACAGCTCAGCATCAAATATTTTCCGGAAAATATCCGAAAACATCGGAAAAATTGTCAACCAAAGTTGCCTATGGCGGCCTGTCTGCATGACGACTTTAGTCGCCTACGGCGCCGAAAGGGTTAATTTATTTTCGTAATTGTTTGAAGTTAATGAATTCTGAAATGTTTTTCTTTTTGTTACGCAGACTTGCTGCTCATATCTGTGGATACCAGAATTTCCAGATAGAGTTGAGTCGAGGTTACGACTATAACGCATTTCACGATGATCTGAAGAAACTTTACCAATCGGCAGGAGTAAAGAATGAACACACTGTCTTCTTGTTTACAGATACACAGGTATGTAGATAAACGAATCCCTGAATAATTACCAGATCATAAAAATAAAAACACTACTGGATGTAATATATAAAAAAAATATTAATGTTAACAAAACATTGAAGAAGGGGAGATAACTAAGGTTTGATTTTTTTTTTACAGATTGTAGTGGAGGAGTTTTTAGAGGATATCAACAATATCCTTAACTCTGGTGAAGTTCCAAACCTGTTTGAACCGGATGAGTATGAACAGCTTATCATTGGATGTCGGGCTGGCGCCAAGGAAGCTGGTATCCCAGAGGGGAACAGAGACGCCATCTATGAGTTCTGTATTAACCGTGTCAGGTAAATAGCGGCTGAACAATATAGTAACTAAGGAAGGCCAGTGTCAAGAGATGACATTTTGGGTTTGAGGGGTAAAAGGAGTGGTGATTTAGTTTCGTATTTTTTTCAAAATATCAAGGCACTTTTTCAGGGAGTTTATATAGTGATCAATATTATGAATTGATATCTTAACAGATTTAGAGGTTGTTAGAAACAGGATTCAATAGGGTAAAGATGTGCTTTTCTTTAATACACAGTGAAACCTGTTTACAAAGGCCACTCAAGGGAGCAAAGAAAAGTGGCCTTTATACACAGGTAGCCTTAATATAGAAGTTCAATCATGAAAAATTTTATTACTTAGGGAACCAAAAAATGGCCTTTATATACAGTAGGACTTTGTATAAAGTGACATTTTGGCTACATCAGGAATTTTATTTTTTAAGTGTGAAATTTAAAATATTTCTGATTGCGACCCAAGACTGGCTGACAACGACCCATTAAATACTGATTAATCAAAGAAAATTAAGTCGAATATAAATTCATTTTTTTTTCAAAAGCAAATTACAATTGTTTTCAAAGTTAACAGTTTTTTCCCTACTTGTTTCCAGGAATAACTTACACATTGTGTTGTGTATGAGTCCAGTGGGAAATGCTTTCCGAACGCGCTGTCGGATGTTCCCGTCCTTGGTGAACTGCTGTACTATCGACTGGTTTACAGAGTGGCCAAGGGAAGCTTTGCTCGGTGTGTCACAGTCCTTCTTTGAAAATGTTGAACTCGGCAAAGATGAACTCAGAGTATGTGTCTCTAAATATTAGTCCTCATGAATATCTATTTGTAAAAATTTGAAAATATGTTTTAGGTTCATCTTAGTCTAGTGAAAATAAAGATTAAGGTCAAGTTTGTACCTGGTCATATCATCATTTTATTGCTGTTAAATTTGATTTGATTAGAATTTAGAATTTATTCATTTATTTTTGTTATTTAATGAGATGTTTCTTCTTGCAAATTAAAAAAGCCTAAGAGCTCTGGTTTCATTTTCAAAAGCAATAAAAAAAAAGTCATTATGCTGCCCGAAGAGAGAGCATTTAGTCGCCAATTTGCTTGTTGGTCAGTCTGTCCGCTTTTTGTCTGTTCATCCGTCTGTCCGTATTTCATTTTTTTGTCCTGAACATATCACAAAAACTGTAAGAGGTATCAACATGAAACTTCATATGTAGAGATAGATTTGATAAGGTGATTTGCAGTGTACAAGAACCATAACTCTGTTTTGCTTAATTAGCCGTTTTTGAACTAGCGTTTATTCAAGGAATATCCTTCAGTTTTACTGATTCTCTTGTTTAATTAAAAGATGAATATAAACCTAAATATTTATTGAGGATTGAAATCCTTGAATCAAAGTCACAAAGTAGTCGATAACTGTACAAACACGTTTGATTCTTCAAACTGGTGACAGATGTACTTATCTCCCACAGACGTCCGTCGCCGAGATGTGTGTGGAGATACACACCAGTGTAAGCAGTATGGCAGAACGATTCTACTCTGAACTGAAGCGACGTTACTACACCACTCCCACCAGCTACTTAGAGTTAATCAACCTGTATCTGAGCATGCTCGGCGAGAAAACAAAGTACGTTCTCAAAATAATGATGATAGAAGCATGATAAAGTAACACCTTTATTCAGGAATAGAAATCTTATTTAACAGGACTACCCAGAGGCCAACACTTAGCCTCTGACTCAAAGTCAGGATGTAGGCTGAAGTATGGGTGGACTTATTATCATATACTGTCGTTGCAGTTTCTCTAAGTTGTTTACATATCAACAATTCTCCAAATTGTTTATTAATTAACGATTCACTAAGTTGCTTATATATTAAAAAATCTCTGAATCAAGATGGTTACTGCAATATTAGGCCAGGCTGTTCATCAGTCATAGAATGACAACATGCTCCAAACATCCAGCATTCAATGTTTTTATTCCTTGTGCCTTACCAAATCCAATCTCTATGCACGTACAGTTACACATGTTAAAGGGAGGTAACTCTTACATAGCAAAGGTCTTAGGTGGTATAATACATACTACATTGATGAACATATAATTACATTACACAATGTATCAGTACAGTAACTTAAGTTTTATTGTACTTTCAATTTCTAGAGCTGTGGATTTATTTTTTAAAATCTGACAAGTTTTAGTATCATTCAGGATAACAAAGCTTCCTATCAGCAAGTTGTGTAAAATTCAATGTTTTTCGTTGTCAAGGTCACTGAAGAATGCTCGTGATCGAGTCCAGAATGGTCTGATTAAGCTACTGGAGACCAATGAGTTGGTGGACAACATGAAGAAGGAGCTGGTAGCTCTGGAGCCGGAGCTAAAGAAGAAATCACAGGACACGAATGAGTTGATGGAACGTCTGGTGGTGGACCAAGAATCAGCGGACAAGGTAACAGACTTTTTCACTCAAGGTCAGAGAATCTGCGCGAAGGAAAGAAAAAACCCAGAAAAATATCATAAACCTTACGTAAAGATTGTTAATTTTCCAGGATTTGTGATTGTTTTGTTGTTTTTCAGTGTAAAGAAAATCTCAGAAAGTGGACATACCTTGAAAATAAACGTATTACAGAAAAAGATTTGATTCTGTGATTTGGTGACATTTTGTTTTGATAAAAAAATGAAAAACTTGGAATCCACACAAACCCAAAACCTTTACCGTGTATCATTGTCATAACGATATTTTACCATTCTGTTGTGGCTTTCTTTAAATCCCTTTTTGTCATGTGATTTGACATCATATAAACTTGTATAAAATTTTTCCTGTTCTATGTACAATGCATGTTTTTTATTTTATTCCACAATTCTGTCGACCAAAGAAGAAAACGATAACCTTTTATATAGTACTAAGTCTGTACCATCAAAACTGGTTTTAGGTGCGTAAAGTTGTCATGGAAGACGAAGCCACAGCTAAAGCTAAAGCCGAGGAGACTCAGGCCATCGCAGACGACGCCCAGAGAGACCTGGATCAAGCTCTCCCTGCCTTAGATGCTGCAGTAAAGGTCAGAGTTCATCTGTATGATTTGTACAGATAGTTATAGCATTTCGGCTGTCTTTTTCACTATTACTTCAACAAGTATGATATATTCGTAATTAGATTCTGTAATGTTATCATTAGATGGTGACAACTGATGGTCAGATGTGAAACTGTTGTAACTTTATATAAATTAGATGTTGTTTGATGTTTTTGATTGGTGGTCTGGGTACAGTATATCTATATAATATTGTTTTTGCGGGATTGTAGTATGTAGTATAAACACACTTACTTTAACAAAATCATATTTGAGCACTTTGAATTTCTTGTCCACTTTAGGCTCTTGATGCTCTTGACAAGAATGACATCGCTGAGATCCGTGTGTTCTCTAAACCACCAGAGTTGGTACAAACTGTCATGGAGGCTGTGTGTATATTAATGGGAAGCAAGTAAGTAAATGAACACTCTATTTCATTGTCCAGTTATTTTGTACTTTATTCAGAATTTGATTGTTTGACTATTTGAAACTGTTCAACTTTAATGAAAATAGCAGAAACAGATTGGGTGTATAGCAGTTCTCATATGACAAGTCAACTCTCGTTAGAACCTTGTACTTGACTGGTCATGTCAATAATGATTGTATTGATCGTGTCAATTGTTTCATTGTATTGATTTATTGATTTATTGTTTAATTGATTGATTGATTGATTGATTGATTGATTGATTAACTGATTGATTGAATACACTTTTAATTTCATCGATTGCTGTTGGAAATGATGATCCCTTTGGTTTGTTATCATTAAACTCAAACCTGAACGCCACCTCTCCATAAAGGCTGCCTCTCTATAATGTTTACCTCTGTATAAAGGCCAACTGTCCATAAAGGCTGCCTCTCTATAAAGTTTACCTCTGTATAAAAGTCACCTCTCCATAATGGCTGCCTCTCTATAATGTTTACCTCTGTATAAAGGCCAACTGTTCATAAAGGCTGCCTCTCTATAATGTTTACCTCTGTATAAAGGCCGACTGTCCATAAAGACTGCCTCTCTATAATGTTTACCTCTGTATAAAGGCCAACTCTCCATAGAGGCTGTATATCTATAAAATTTACCTCTGTATAAAGGTCACCTCTCCATAAAGGCTGCCTCTCTATAAAATTTACCTCTGTATAAAGGTCACCTCTCCATAGAAGCCACTTGTTTTGCTCCTTTTTTAACAAAATTTGTAACAATGGAACCTCTATATAAAGGCCAGAAGTGATGATGGAGATGATAATACTAATGTGTTATTTGTCTACAGGACAGACTGGGCATCAGCTAAGTCGTTGTTGGGCGACTCTAATTTCCTCAAGAACATGTTAAATTATGACAAAGACAGCATTGCTGAGAGCACATTAAGGAAACTGAAGAAATATGTAGACAATCCTAAGTTTGTTCCTGAGGCTGTGGAGAAAGTCTCCAAGGTAACGTCCCAGCTGGGAAAACTAAAATCTCCATGACTACTGTATCTAGGAAATCTTTACCTTAAGATTTGTTTACACTCTTAGAAAACTGATCGCCCTGAAAAGTTTACTTTACTCAACCTTCAATATCTCCCCTATATTACTGATATGCTTAGAAGTAATTGCAGGAAACTGAATCATATATAGATAAGATTTCGGAGTCTTGGGATAAGGTAGTTACTTTACTGGAACAGCCCAAAAATAGAACACTAACAACTCTCACAATGAGTCAACTCACTACTTTTAAGTTCATGTTTTAGGCCTGGAGCTTTTCAGAGAACAAATTTAAATGAAAAATCTTCATTACTTTATGCTGTTGAACTCTGCATTCCCTCTGTGACCAATATTGTATACTATGTACAAATATGTTTCCTCGTGGTAAGTTTGATTCCTGTCTGTTACAGGCCTGTAAGTCCATGTGCATGTGGGTTCTTGCTATGGATTGTTACTCGCACGTCTTTAAAACAGTGGAGCCGAAGAGACAAAAGTAAGTAATTTACCCATGTGGTAAATTTGATGAAGAACAAATCAGCCATGAGATAAATGTATTAGTTTAGTACCCATTGTTATATAATGTATTGTGATATCAGTTAGATAAAGAAATGACATCACACACTGTGATTGTGGCGTAACCATGGAGATAACCGATATAGAACCAAAAAGTCATCCAGATAAGGAAATTACTGTTTTCTACAATATTTGCTTTAATGATAACCAAGGCTTGTGGAATTTTTTAAAATTTGACTCGTTTGACTCATTTCATAAATTATACATCAAATAAAAGCTCCAGCATGATTTATTGGAATTCTGGTTTGTCTTACAGAAATCTTCCAAATTTCAAAAAAAAATCTGTCATTCAAAATTTTTCATATTTTTGATTAGTAATTATAAGAAGAATGATAAAATTGAGGTATGTGAAAGATTTCATGATATTTCAAATATTTTGTCTGGATATGATTGATTGCTTTCTGAGTTAAGAAGGACTAAGAGAATTGATGACTGTTTGTTACACAGGCTAGCAGCAGCTGAATCCGAACTGGAAACAGTCATGTCCTTGTTAAAGGAGAAGCAGGACCAGTTGGCAGCCGTCGAGGCAAAGATTGCCGAACTACAGAAGACATACGATGAAAGTGTCGCAGAAAAACAGAAACTAGAACGCAATATTGCCCAGACAGCATCCCGCCTGAAACGTGCAGCTAAGCTAACGACAGCTTTGGGCGATGAGCAAGTGAGATGGGATGAAACAGTCAAGGTGAGTTGTGAATTCTGCTGGTTCAGGCTGTCTTGCAGCGAAGAGTTCTGCCTGTCAGTTTGTCTGTCCATGGATTAAAAATATAAACATTTCTTACTTAACTTCTTAATCAAAACAAATAAAATTTTACAAAGCTAAACACTTAATAATTCTTTGTCAGGACTTTTTCTTTTCTATGTCATCTGACAGATTTGTTGAAACTTTTATGAAGTATGATTGATAACAAATATGTTCAACTTCAGATTTCTGTATTCAAGATGGCCACCATGGCTCCTGAGCCATAACTCTAGTTTAAAAAAACTGAGTTTAATATTCGCTACTAAAACTTTTTAAGAGTACAAGTGGAAAGCATACATATCTTTAACAACAAACTTTTACGATTTTGGATTCAAGATGGCAGCAAAAGCCACTTAATGAGGCTGATGTAAGAAAATATAAGATAGATTTGAAGATAGTATATGTACTTATTTTGGAGCAATCAAATTTTAGCGTAATATCATGCTTTGACAGATAAGTGCATTGATGAATTTGTATATCCATAACTATTGCTAAATAAACAAAATTAATAAAATGTATTTAATGCTGTTTCATTTTAGTGATAAAACATTAGTGTGAAAAAAAGACTAAAGTAAGATTTCCACTGAAATGTGTACATTTATTGTCTTCATGATGTACAGGATATTTGTTAATTCAGAAAAAATTGTACTGTTTTCTGTTAACAGGACTTTAACAAACAAATCGGTAATGTGGTGGGTGATGTGTTTGTGTCTGCGGCTTGTGTGGCGTACTATGGAGCATTTACAGCAAAGTACCGTCACGAGCTGGTGTCTGGGTGGACAGAGCGATGTCAGGAGATGGAAATTCCAGTCACTCCAGGAATGACCATCATCTCCGTCCTCGCTGACCCGTTTGAGATCCGACAGTGGAACATGGATGGTCTCCCGAAGGATCAGTTGTCCACAGAAAATGCCATCTTGGTGACACGGGGCCGAAGATGGCCCCTCATGATAGACCCACAAGAACAGGTATTTTATTGGAAAATGTCGGGCAACATTTTGTAGGATTAACATTTGACAATGATTCCATGCTGTACACTTCTCTCATTGTTTATTCTAAGCATAGATTTCTAACATGTGGGTGGTTCACAGTATAACTGGTACATAACTGGCTGGTTCACAGTATAACTGGTACATAACTGGCTGGTTCACAGTATAACTGGTACATAACTGGCTGGTTCACAGTATAACTGGTACATAACTGGCTGGTTCACATTATAACTGGTACATAACTTGCTGGTTCACATTATAACTGGTACATAACTTGCTGGTTCACATTATAACTGGTACATAACTGGCTGGTTCACAGTATAACTGGTACATAACTGGCTGGTTCACAGTATAACTGGTACATAACTGGCTGGTTCACAGTATAACTGGTACATAACTGGCTGGTTCACATTATAACTGGTACATAACTGGCTGGTTCACATTATAACTGGTACATAACTGGCTGGTTCTTCTTTTCACCAATATTTCTCATTTGTTGATGTTCCTTATCCTAGCCTAGTAGTCTTTTGGAACTTTAGGGAGAATTTTATCTGTCAGTTTAAACAGATATAATTAACATGGCAAGTCTGATACCTAAAATTTGTTTTTACTTGGTAATAAATATTTAATGATTATTGACATCAAGAACACTGTTTCACCGACAGTGTCCTCAGGAGACAAGGATGTGTGTGGATCATGTTTTCCTAGTTAAATGTTGTGTTTGTTTCAGGCTAACCGATGGATTAGAAGTAAAGAAGCTAAAAATGGCCTGAAGTTCATCAAGCTCACTGACAGTAATTTCCTTCGCACCCTGGAGAACTGTATACGTATTGGTATGCCTGTGCTATGCGAGGACCTTGGCGAGTCTCTAGATCCGGCACTCGAGCCTGTCCTCCTCAAACAGACGTTTATGTCTGTGAGTATCAAAAATCCAGGCCCAGACTTGTTGAATTGGAGTTTGATAATACTTTTTTTTATTTCAGCAATGGTTTTCAACAAAACGTGAAAAAAACACTCTATGAAAGTATTTTTAAAACAAAAGTTGTGAAGGGTAAGCAATAGGGACAAAAATAGTATTATGCTAATGAGAAAAATTAGTTAATAGATTCTAACACCATATTCATTTATTTCATCATGCTGGGAACTTATGTAAATTTACACAAAAATTTTTTCCATGTGAAATGTCTTTGGACAAGAATCTTTTGAAACAGAAAAATTTGAATCTGAAATTTAGAATGGTAAATTGTCACTAAATTTCTCAGTGTCTGTGAAGAAGAAGAATTATAAGGCTGACTTTTAGTATAAAAGTGCAGTAAGCAGTCTTTTCAAAGGCTTTACTTTTGTATACCTATCAGCTTCCAAAGGAAAAAGGTAGATACGCCCTTATAAGGACATTTAACTTTTAAAAAAAGAATTCATTACTTTATGAGTTACAATACTGGCCAAAACATTAAGTCTATTAAAAATCAAATTTCTATTTTAGGGTGGCCGTCTACTGATCCGTCTCGGAGACAGTGATATTGATTACGACCGTAACTTCCGTTTCTTCATGACGTCCAAGATGACAAATCCTCATTACCTCCCTGAGGTGTGTATCAAAGTGACCATCATCAACTTCACAGTCACCAAACAGGGACTAGAGGACCAGTTACTGGGGTGAGTTGTTTTATATTATTTTTTGTACACTTACTGACTTAGTCTGAGGTCAAAAGATGTATTGTTCAACTCAAATATCATGAGTAAAACATCGAAATCAAGCAATGATCTCACAAGTCTTAGAAAAGTCTTGTTGAGATGTTTTGTTAAATTTGGGATCCCAAGTGGTGTCAGATGAGAACTTGTTGATCTTAACACCAAAGTATTGTCCAAGAAAACGGAAATAAGACCATATTTATCTAGTTATATATTGTGGTTTATACTACCGACTCCAAACCAAGGGTTCGATTTATTACGATATAGTTGGTACAGCTAATGAAGAACATTAGATTAAATCTGATTTATGACCAGATGTGGGTTGATTGCTGGATATACAAATACTGACATTTCTTTCCTTTTGTAAACAGGAGAGTGCTAGTCAAGTCATCTACAATAGCTAACATCGATATCATATATACAAATTTTTAGATAAGAAAATGAAAAAATTTAAGTAACGGTAATAATCTGTGTTGTAGTGATGTGGTTGGCTTAGAGAGACCAGACCTAGAAGAACAAAGAAATCAGCTTATCATGAAGATTAACGCTGATAAGAACCAATTAAAGGCTATTGAGGATAGGATTCTCAAGCTTTTATTTGAATCAGAAGGCAACATCTTGGACAATGAGGAGCTTATCAACACTCTTAACGAATCCAAGGTAGGTAATGTGGTCTCAGGAAGTTGATGGAAAATAAAGACTATCATTATGTTATATACATTTTAGATTTCTGATAACTGGTCAGATTTGTCATGTATAGAGATATACAATAACTAGTAACTTTGAACTTTGACCTTTACCAGGTGACTTCAGGTGTGATAAAACAGCGTCTGGCTGAGGCAGAAGTGACAGAGGAGAAAATTAACACAGCTCGTGAGAAGTACATCCCAGTGGCTGCACGCGGCTCTGTCATGTACTTTGTTGTCGCTGACATGGGCGAGGTAGACCCCATGTACCAGTTCTCACTGAAGTACTTCAAACAGGTAAGGAAAATAACACTTCAGTGAACCTGTTCTCATGGAAGTACTTCAAACAGGTAAGGAAAAAATAATCCATTGAATCTGTTCTCACTGAAGTACTTCAAACACGTAAAGAAAATGTAATTCATTGAACCTGTTCTTACTTAATTACTTCAAACAGGTAAGGTAAAAATAATTCAATGAACCTGGTTGATCTAAATGAAGAACTTAAACAGGTATTGAACAAAGAATGAGCTGAGTTTGCTTTTACAATCAATGAAATATTATTTCAAATGGAGTGCACTGCTGTATTTCAGCTTTTCAACACCACTATTTCCACAAGTGAGAAGAACTCTGACCTACAGAAGCGTCTTAAGATTTGTCTTGATGAAACAACAAGTGCTATCTACAAAAATGTTGCCAGGTAAGGCTGTTTCAACATAAATTCCACTCCCCATTTCCTGTTTATCAAAAGTTGTTTCAACATTTAACTCCATTTAACTCTATTATGAGGCTGTTAAATCATTCAGCTCCCCTCCCCGTACTTTGTTTATCATGAGGCTGTTACAAAATTCAGCTCCCCTCCCCATCTTTTCTTTATCCTGGAGCTGTTATAACACTCAGCTCCACTCCCTGTCTTTTGTTTATCCTGAAGCTGTTCTAACATTCAGCTCCACTCCCTGTCTTTTGTTTATCCTGGAGCTGTTATAACACTCAGCTCCACTCCCTGTCTTTTGTTTATCCTGAAGCTGTTCTAACATTCAGCTCCACTCCCTGTCTTTTGTTTATCCTGAAGCTGTTCTAACATTCAGCTCCACTCCCTGTCTTTTGTTTATCCTGACGCTGTTCTAATATTCAGCTCCACTTCCAATATTCTGTTTATCAACTAACCTACAACAAGCATTTCTTCTCCAAAATTACTGACAAAAGTAGCATCAACTATAAGTTTGGTTCATAGATGTCTTTAATCACTAACACTATTTTGTGATATGTATTGTAGAGGTTCAATAACATCACATTGATGATTATTAATTAGAATTTAAAACTTAGTCTTCATAGTAGACATTTGAAATGCTACGAAGGTTTCATTTGATTCAGTACAATCTGAGCGCAAATCTTTAAAAGGAGAATTTCCTTAATGGTAGTTTCCACCTCACTTTAATTCGACAGGGCACTGTTTGAGAAAGACAAGCTTGTGTTTTCCTTCATGTTGTGTGTGGAAATCATGAAACAAGAAGGTTTCATCTCGATACCTGAATGGAACTTCTTCCTGCGTGGTGCTGCCGGCATGGACCGTCAACGGGCCCCTAAACCAGATGTGGACTTTATAAAGGTACTCACGTGGAATCAAGCCTGTGATATCAACGATACCCTTCCTATCTTTAGAGGTGTGCATACAGATCTCCTCAAAACACCAGTGTGGGTCAAACTCGGAGAAACTGAGGTAAGATATGGATGTTGACAATATTTCAACATATTCAAACATTTTCCTTAGTTATAGATCAATAAAAAATTGTCATGATTGCAAAATGTTCTCAGAAATTTTATGGTTCTTTTGATCTTTCATGACTAACATTTGACTAATATGTTAAATTCTAATTGTATAAAGTACTGTTTAATTTTTGCCAGAGTACAACTTGTTACCTGTTTGTATTTCTCCTAATCCTTGTGTACAAACTTATTAAACCTATTGTTGGTACCAAAGAAGCAATTTGCACATTCTTATACTAAAATGTCTTCAAACTAATTTTTTTCTTTAAATTAATTATTTTTTAACTGTTATAGATCCATGCCAATCCTGACGAATATGAAACATACGAGCCACTTCCTCCAGAGCCAGAACCATTGAAGGAAGGTCAGGAACAGGAAATAGAGGTCGATGATGGCAAGATCAAAGGTCACTGGAATCTTCGTCTCACGAGCTTCCAGAAACTTATGTTCATCAAAGTTTTCCAGGAAGAGAAGGTAACTCTTTGCTAATACATAGAAGGGCAGATAACCCAATCATAGTTTTCCCAGGCAGAAAAAATTAATCACCATTAGAAATAGAAGGGGAGATAACTCAGTATTTGGAAATATTGTTCGGAAGGACGATATTGAAATCAATTTTCACAGTAGTGGTTTGAACTTATTTTAATAAAGCAAAATTATGTAATTTCAAAAGTTAAATAGATACGTCATACTTTCGAAAATATATATTGCAATTTGAAACATACTTGACCTTTTTATAAAAATAAAAGAGATAAAAACAAGAGCAGTTATTACTGGGATGGTTTTGCTTTTTGAATTTACTCTTAAATGGAATATTGTGCTGATACCATGGTTTTACCACAAATCCTTATAAATTTCTTGTTTTGAATAGCTAATATTCACCTATATTACAAAATAAAAATTCTTCGTCAAATATTTGAGAAGTGTTCCATATTGGATAGTGTCACCTTAAAGAGAACTTTTGTAAAATCTTCATACACCACACATGGCAAATCCTAGAGGAGGTAGAGTCACCAAAGTACCTCTGTGTTTACATCCCCACCTCTCTAGACTAATAGCTGGGATAACCACATAACAACAGCTATTTATAGCTAAACACACAGTTTAGATAAGAGAAATTCTGTTGGAATAAAATTGTGCCTGTCATTTCTTGGGAAAGATATCAGAAATGTTACTATACATAGCATGACCCCCATTATTACCAAACAAGTTTTCAGATCGGCTAATGTCATCTGATTCCTTATTGTCACTGTCAATATACAATTCAACACTTTTGTCTACAGACAATCTTTGCCGTGACTGACTTTGTGCGTGAGAACCTCGGACAACAATTTGTGGAGAGTCCTCCAGTTAGTCTACAGACCCTCTATGATGACATGAACAAAATCACACCTCTAGTGTTTGTGCTGAGTACAGGATCTGATCCCATGGGAGCCTTCCTGAGGTTTGCGAGGGAGAAAGGTTACTCAGACAAGTATGTTTACTCTTTCTGTCATATCTTATTTTATATGTAATACTGGTTTATCCTGCAACACATTTGAATTGTATTGTACATGTTTAGAGTAGATTTTGATGGATAGCTGTTCAGTTTTGGATGATTTTTTAAATCTGCAGGATTCAGTCAATCTCCTTGGGACAAGGGCAGGGACCTGTGGCTGAGAAGCTGATTGCAAGTGCTGTGAAGAGTGGTGACTGGGTCATTTTACAGGTAGGTCAAATGTCTCTGTCATTGTTAATTAAACAAAAAAGAGAACATACAAAAATAACCCCTTCATGAAAATTACAGAGATGGAATATACTGAACTGTCAATAAGTATTGTTTGTCTGACAGAACTGTCAATAAGTATTGTTTGATAGAACTGTAAATAAGTATTGTCTGACAGAACTGTCAATAAGTATTGTCTGACAGAACTGTCAATAAGTATTGTTTGTCTGACAGAACTGTCAATAAGTATTGTTTGTCTGACAGTACTGTCAATAAGTATTGTTTGTCTGACAGAACTGTCAATAAGTATTGTTTGATAGAAATGTCAATAAGTATTGTTTGACAGAACTGTCAATAAGTATTGTTTGTCTGACAGAACTGTCAATAAGTATTGTTTGTCTGACAGTACTGTCAATAAGTATTGTTTGTCTGACAGTACTGTCAATAAGTATTGTTTGTCTGACAGAACTGTCAGTAAGTATTGTTTGTCTGACAGTACTGTCAATAAGTATTGTTTGTCTGTCAATAAGTATTGTTTGTCTGACAGAACTGTCAGTAAGTATTGTTTGACAGGACTGTTAATAAGTATTGTTTGTCTGACAGAACTTTCAATAAGTATTGTTTGTCTGACAGAACTTTCAATAAGTATTGTTTGTCTGACAGAACTTTCAATAAGTATTGTTTGTCTAACAGAACTGTCACCTGGCTGCTTCCTGGATGTTGTCTATGGAGAATGTTGTGAAACAGATGGGAGAAGCGCCACATGATATACACGAAGATTTCCGCCTCTTCCTCAGCTCTATGCCCTCTAAGACATTCCCTGTCAGTGTCCTTCAGAACAGTGTCAAGGTCACCAATGAACCTCCTAAGGGCCTGCGTGCAAATATGAGGCGTGCATTTGGCGAGATGACGCCCACCTTCTTTGAAGAAAATGGTATTTTATTTGTAATGCAGTTGAAAATATCATATACATTGTTCATGATCGTAATTTGTAAATATGTAAAAACAGTCACGGATTTCTATATAACATCGTAATTCTATATGTAAACATTACCCGTAATAGTCAAATTATTGTAAATGTAAAATTGAAACTTTTCATAGATTTATAAGTTCTTGGATAACCTTAGATTTATTGGTTTTTATCTTTGAATTTATAAAATATAACAAAGTTGTACTTATCGTGATATTGATGTTTTCTTGTTAAAAGTGTTGGGAGTGAAATGGAAGAGAATGATCTTCGGACTTTGTTTCTTCCATGCCATTATTCTGGAAAGGAAGAAGTTTGGTCCACTAGGATGGAATATACGGGTAAGTGTGGTGTTTTTGTTCAGATTACTAGGAGTTTGCCACAGAGACATTGTGTGGTACCTTATATCTTCTGATTCAGTACTTTTAACCTGGGGAGGTACAATACATCGTCACTGTTTATACTTACTAGAGATAATTTTGTGTTGTAAATGAAGTAAAACTTACTAGAGATGATTTTGTCTTGTAAATGAAGAAAGATCAATTGGAGAGCTGTGTATAGTGCTCTACAGATTATAATTTTTTAAGTTTAAAATTTTCGCATGTCAACCAAAGTTTGAAGTAAAATAGGTTTATTTTTCACTGAGATTATAGAATAGGTCACAAATTTCTGTATTCTTGAAATTGTATTCTCTCTTCAGCAACGGAAGAATCTAACCCAACAATGTTTACTGTGTTCAAAAAGATACAAGTGAGAAAATGATCTTTATTTGAAAGTTTGACCTGATTGTGTTACAGTACGAGTTCAGTGACAGTGACAGAGAGTGTGCCCTACTTAACCTACAGATGTTCTGTAAAGACGGCAACATTCCATGGGATGCACTCATCTACATCTCCAGAGAGGTAGGTCAAAGGTCGATACACTAACAGCTGTCAATACACAGACCACTGTCAATACACAGACCACTGTCAATAAACTGACCACTACACTGACAACTGTCAATACACTGACCACTGTCAATACAATTGTCAATACACTGTCCACTGTTAATAAATTGACCACTGTCAATACACTGACCATTGTCAATACACTGACCACTGTCAATACACTGTTCACTGTCCATACACCGGCCACTACACTGACCAGTGTCAATACACTGACCACTGTCAATACACTGTTCACTGTCCATACACCGGCCACTACACTGACCAGTGTCAATACACTGACCACTGTCAATACACTGCCACATGGCTAGACATTAAGGACAATGTTTGTAACCTGATTCATCAGTTTAACAAATCTGTGGTCCAGGGACCAGTGACACAGATTATAGTGGTGATCAAATTAAAGTGTTGAAATAAATTTCATTGGCAAATAAAACTGAAGGAGAGAGTGAACACATGAATGCCGGGTACATGATGTGTGAATAGTAATACAGATCAACTGACATGTTGTAGATTACATATGGAGGGCGTGTCACTGATGTTCATGACAAGAGATGTCTTGGTACAGTACTTAAAACATTTTTCTACCCTGAGACACTTGCTCCAGATTACCTGTACTCACCTTCAGGTAAGTAAACTGTTCACAATGAATGTCTTGAAAGTGTTTTACATTTTGTATCTATTTTGTATCTGTTCATTGCTCTATTAACTTGACATACTTTCTCAATTAAATTACCGTGATGATTTTCACTGTTTAGATATTAACGATTGTGTATTCACATTGATTTTTCACGTTATTGACTTCCATAAGTAATTTGCTGTGATAATTTACACTGATTTGTATCCACTAAACACTGATAATTTACACTGATGTCTGTTTACACTGATTTGTATCTACTAAACACTGATAATTTACACTGATGTCTGTTTACACTGATTTATATCTACTAAACACTGATAATTTACCCTGATAATTTACACTGATGTCTGTTTACACTGATTTGTATCTACTAAACACTGATAGTTTACACTGATGTCTGTTAACACTGATTTATATCTACTAAACACTGATAATTTACACTGATGTCTGTTTACACTGATTTGTATCTACTAAACACTGATAATTTACACTGATGTCTGTTTACACTGATTTGTATCTACTAAACACTGATAATTTACACTGATGTCTGTTTACACTGATTTGTATCTACTAAACGCTGATAATTTACACTGTGTTTGTTTACGCTGACAGGTATCCACTAAACACTGATAATTTACACTGATGTCTGTTTACACTGATTTGTATCTACTAAACACTGATAATTTACACTGATGTCTGTTTACACTGATTTGTATCTACTAAACACTGATAATTTACACTGATGTCTGTTTACACTGATTTGTATCTACTAAACACTGATAATTTACACTGATGTCTGTTTACACTGATTTGTATCCACTAAACACTGATAATTTACACTGATGTCTGTTTACACTGATTTGTATCTACTAAACACTGATAATTTACACTGATAATTTACACTGATGTCTGTTTACACTGATTTGTATCTACTAAACACTGATAATTTACACTGATGTCTGTTTACATTGATTTGTATCTACTAAACACTGATAATTTACACTGATGTCTGTTTACACTGATTTGTATCTACTAAACACTGATAATTTACACTGATGTCTGTTTACACTGATTTGTATCTACTAAACACTGATAATTTACACTGATAATTTACACTGATGTCTGTTTACACTGATTTGTATCTACTAAACACTGATAATTTACACTGATAATTTACACTGATGTCTGTTTACACTGATTTGTATCTACTAAACACTGATAATTTACACTGTGTTTGTTTACGCTGATTTGTATCTACTAAACACTGATAATTTACACTGATAATTTACACTATGTTTGTTACGCTGACAGGTATCTACTACGCCCCAGACTTTGAGGAACTGCAACAGTACAGAGACTACATTGAGTCCTTACCACAGGTTGAGGAACCAGAAATATTTGGCATGCACGAAAACGCCAATATAGCATTCCAGGTAACTGACGTAGACTTAGAAAAAACTTGTTTCAGGTGTTTTTGGGAGGCTGTCCTTTGTTATACAGTTTCACGTAAATCATAAAAAATAAAAGAATGTTTTACTCGTATGAATAAATTTGCATTTTAATTGTCGGTTTGAGATATATTTTATTGCATCATATCTGTGGCTATTTTATTTTCTAAGTGGTAATTTTCTGTATTTTCACACTTGAAATGTTTCTGCTCTGTATAGATGAAGGGAATATAGTATCATTAGTGATATTTTATGACTCAAGAGTGTAGAGATCTATGATATATTCACCTAACAATAAAAATCCTGACAGTCACTTAAAATTTTTAAGTAAATGAAAAATATGTATTATGTTATGCTTTGTTTAACAGAACCAAGAAACCACAGCCCTGGTGACTACAATTCTAGACGTACAACCACGTTTGTCTTCTGGTGGTACTGGCAAGTCAAACGATGAAATTGTGTATGAACTAGCCGAGAATATTCTGGAGAAGATGATGGACAAATTAGACATTGATGAGGCAAACCAGGAGATGTTTGCACTGGACGCCAAGGGTCGTCTTAACTCACTCACAACTGTCCTCACACAGGAGGTTGACCGCTTCAACAACCTGCTCAGAGTCATCAAGGTACAGAACTGTTGGACAAAAGTGGGGATAATATGTGGGTCTTCAAGGGAGATAACTCCATAAATCTCCACATACACTTCTCTCTAGTTACTGATGAACTGAAATTTCATCCTTCCAAGCAAATCATAGTTTTAATCCAGTAGAGATAGCAGTCCACATTGCTGTCATCAAATATCACAACAAAATAAATCAATATTTGCTAAATATATCAAACTTTGGGATCAGACTCATCTTAATCTCTGACCCAACGGTCATCACCTTCACCATTGTTGTCTGTTTTATCCTGTGTTCAGCATTAGTTACCTTCATGTTGTAGAACTCTCTCCTGACACTGCAGAAAGCCATTAAGGGGATGGTGGTAATGAGTGAAGCCCTAGAAGGGGTCTACAATGCTTTCCTCAACAAACAGGTGCCGACAATGTGGGCGAATGCTGCCTACCCCTCTCTGAAGCCCCTAGGCTCATGGGTAGAGGATCTGACATATCGTACCGCCTTTATTGACAACTGGATCAGACATGGACTACCCAAGTCGTTCTGGATGTCAGGTTTCTTCTTCCCTCAAGGTGAGTAACAAACAACATTTCTCAGAAGATTTAATTTCATGTATTAACATTGTCAAAATAAAACTTTAGCAAGTTGTTTTTTATTCTAAAGTCTTACGATTTTGAATCAGAGTAAAACTGGAACAACTACGTAAAATTTGAGAAGTTCTAACATCAAAGTACGCTGAAAGTATTGGTAGAATTTTGGAGCCTCTGAACTGAGGACAGAATGACTGAGTTAACACCTATATTTGTTGTTTACAGGTTTCTTGACGGGGTCTCTTCAGAATTATGCCCGTAAGTACAACCTACCCATTGATCATCTCTCGTTCCACTTCCATCCCATGAAGCTTTTCCGGGACCAGAAGGAAGTCACAAAACAAATGGCGGAGCTGAAATTCGGAGAGGAGATCGAACTTGACAAAGAGGTAAAAATATATTCACATTACACTAGTATCCTGAGTGTATCCCGTTTAATTCCAAATCACGGGATTACTGGAAGCCCTTAAAAATATACCTCTACAGTGATTATAGGATCTGTGTGAAGGAAATGTTCCCTTTACACAAGTCTGATTCTCTTGTTCCAGTGTTAAAATCATCAACATTAATTCTCATGTTAATCAATGTACACAATTTGCTCTTCTTCATATTGATACAAGGAAATGTTTTGAATGCAGTTTTCAAACTTTAATTTTGTATACGAGAGTCAATCCTGAGAAATTAAGGGTTTATTTTTCCCGCAGTCACAAGCAAGGGAAGTAACTGTGGAATGTTTGTCTCTTTGAATTATTATGACATAAAGCATACTTTCAACATCCTCACAAGTCATCTGGTGTGCTTCATTTACACATCAGTGTTTTTTGTTTAAAATACGTTTGGCACTTGTAGCATATGCTTGCTTGGTTATAGATCGTACTTCCGGAGGATGGTGTGCTGGTACACGGCATGTTTATGGATGGATGTCGTTGGGACACCGAAGATATGGTTGTTGTTGATTCTGTTCCTGGCATCATGAACGATGTTCTTCCTGTGATACATATGGAGCCTAAGATGGACTTCAGTCCCGACCCAGAGGACTACCGAGCTCCACTTTACAAAACATCGGCCCGCGCTGGTGTCCTCTCCACCACAGGTATGTCATAGTCGTGGATATAATTGTCTTCACAATAACTGACAGTTGACAATCAACACTGTACAGAAAATGTAGATCTAAAGAAAGCTGTACCACTTGGTATCATCCAAGAAAAAATGTAAATTGATGTAGACATAGATTCAGACACAACAGAATATGTTGATTTTTAGGTCGTCCGTCATCAGTCATAAACATTTTCAACTTCTTCTCAAGTTCTACATGTCTCATTGAGCTGAAACTTACCTGAAATGATTGTGACATGATACTGACCAAAGTTTGTTAATTTTGGGTTGGTCCAAAATCCAACATGGCCGCCATGGCCGCCATCTTGAAAACACATTTTTGACTTCTTCTGAAGTTCAAAATTTGAAATCTTGTATTTTATGTCAGATGACCGTTAAGGCCCATGGGCCTCTTTTTTTTTTTTTTTCCCAAAAAATTTCAAATGATCTTGATGAAATTTAAAAAATGTTGCTCCATTGGTAGTAACAGCAGGATGAGATTGACATTGCCAATTTCTACATTGAATTATCTGAGAGAAATCAATCTTATCTTTAAAATCTTTGCAAACATACAGCGTAAACATGGAGTAAGTCTGCGGTGTGAACAATGACAATGATAGTTCTTAAGGTAATATTAGCATCAGTGAATTAGGTTAATAAGTAAGTCATTATCGTTGTGTTTCGTTTTTTCTGTTACGTGGTATTTATCTCTGTTGTCCATTTCAGGTCATTCAACCAACTTTGTAGTGATGACCCATTTACCATCCAAGTTCTCCAACGACTACTGGATTGCCAAGGGTGCCGCACTGCTGTGTCAACTCAACGACTAATCAGGGATACACCATACACCAGCAACTGACTTATAAAATATCATCAAATAGTGAAAAAAAACCACGATTACTGACCCGTTATTGGGAGGAGCCAAATGTGCTATATATAGTAGAAAGTGTTTATTACGATTTGTGTAAAAAACTTTTCATGGAATTAAATTATTTTTGTATCAAAATTTTAACGAGGTTTGATCTATCCGACGAATTCCTGGACACGGTGTGTTTCTCCTTGTATATTTAAAATCAAAGTTATTTCATGTGTTATAAAAGTAATAATCATCATTCATTAAAAACTGTCAGCTTGATGGCATATTTAAAAAAAGTAATTCATTGATTTGTGGGGATGTGTATAGAGATAAGAAAAAAAGAAATTAAAGATGAATTCAGTCCGATAAACTATTTAACAGAACAGAATGCAGGTAATTTTAGTCATATAAAAAAAAAAGTTGAACTTGAGAATTTCCAGTCCTTGTTTTTTTTATCAAATTTCTGATACTGAGAAGGGATCTCTTGCATGTTAAATGAGTTTTATCTCGTGCCTGTTTTTTTAAATTGTGTCTTAATCACCTCACTGTTAAATAATCATTAAATGTGCCTTGTCTATATCATAGTGTTAAATTGTTTGTACATTCCTTGTATTTATTTGCCTTTCAGAATAAATTCGGTTTCCTTATTTACATTCGTTAAGAACCCCGATTATCTTTAGATTCCGTCCGTTTGACTGTGATATTAACTTGACACTAGGAGTCAGCCTCTATATTTATAGTAACTGTGTCCCAGGCCTTACACAGTGTGTAGTGAAGTAGAATGATCTAATATACAATTATATGTGATAAACCTGGATCCTCATCGTGACATAGTATTATATGTAATTTTATACGTTGATACAATACGTACTAAAGTATTTTACTGATAAACTCTATCTATTTATGTGATATTTAAACTTCAAATTCATGATGCGTTTTTGTTTTTATGTACATTTTTGAATATATTGAAGTACAATTTTGTTTAAAATTTGACAAGATGGCATCACTATTTTGTGTCAGATGATGAAATAAGATCACATGATATGTCATATGACTAAATATGGTCTTGTGGCATTGTGGAATCACATGACATGTCATGTGACTTAAGAAATGACCTTCACACAACTTACTTTATCTGTGTTAATTTTTTGTTGTGTGCTAATCACAATAAAAAATCAATAATTAAAAACTCTTTTGTTTTGTTTTTGTTTACAAATAACTGATACAGCTAAAGATGTAGTAAACTTTGCTAAAACCGTTTACCTCAGTTTGGTCAAATACATACTTAGTCATTGTTATGTCCTGCCTATATTGGCTTTAAGTTGAGCATAAACTTTGCTTCTTCAAATTAAGTTTGAAGAAGTTTCAAATGTTCACAGTTAAAAAAAAGAAAAAAATATAAGATTGAATGACCTGATGTTTTGTGACAAAATCAAAAATTACTGATATGCAAAAGCAGCAGGGATCTTGATGCCCACCATTGTGTGACCTTAATTTTTTGTGTTTGATCTTTTCTCCACTGTCCAATTCATCTTAAATCCACATGTACAATTAGGAACGAAGGGAAACCAACATGTTTGAGAATTATATCTCCAGTACTCTTAAAGAAATATTGATGACAAAGTAGAAAAAAATATGGTCACATAGTGGCAGCTGTTGTTCAGAGAAGTCCCAGAATAGATGATCCGTAAATAAGGACCCATAAGACTGTCTAATGAAACAACTTACAAACTTGTTATTGTCAAAATCTAAGATGGCTGTCTGTCAGCCATTTTGTTTTTATGATCGACCACGTAATTGTGAGTACAAGAGGAAACTACAAATAACAAAGAGGTTTTGAAACTTTTGATCACGAAAATTCAGAGTTTAATTAAAATGTTGATGACATAAATACCCTCATATACATCTTGGATACTTTCAATATTAGTAATGAAGCATACCATGAATTGAGTATGATATCTAAAGCACTTCCAAGAAATTATGCTATTAGCAAGATTGTTATACTTTTCTAAGGGTTTAGAAAAGCTCGATGACATTGTAGCAGTTTTTCAGAGGCACTTCTCACAATTAAGCGTGTTGTATTATATCTAAGTACCACTAACTAAGAGGTGTGTCTAGATTTTATCAAAACGAACTAGTGAAAATGTTCATTGGTGTCTTTATTGCCCCGACTAATGACAACAAATCCCAGACAGTTAATGCCAGTGAAGATCCGGTTTCGACACAACTATAACAGGTAACAAACATACAGAGGACCAGTGTAAATCCGGTTTCGACAAGTGCGTTGACTGGTTCACACCACACTCACAGCATGGAAGAGCTATACACAAGTACTTTTTGACTGAGCAGCTCACTGTACACACATACGTACGGTAAGAGAGGTAGTTGTGCATATTTCGACATGTGAGCTGCAAAAAGTACAACGAGCACTTTTGTGGTGCACCTTTTAAAACTGTACATGTGTGAATATTAATCCAAATATATGAGGTGCGCCCCGTATCACTTTTGTTAATACGCAAAAAAAAAGAAGAAAACACACCTCATCAATATGGGGAACAAATAATAAAATATATCATGCAGGAATACCGCTACCAATAAATGATAACTGACGTTTTTCCAACACACTATATTTTATATTTGTCACAGTTTTCATGAGAGAATGAATTATAAATTGTGTCTTTGTTAAAAAAATGGTGGATTATGGACAGGTCATATTAGACTTCATGGACAGTTTGGGACAGCTGATGCTCACAATTAGGTATAAGTCATCCCAAACATCACAAATGAATCAGCTCTGATATTGTCAACCGGACGATTCACATCAGATATAACAGTTGTCAACTTCCTGAATTCAATAGTAATTTAAGCTCAGAATTACGGACAAGTCATCCTAGATGTCATGGATACATTGGACAAATCACCTCAGATACAAGTGGTTGAAGCCCACAATTATGGACAAGTCATCCTTGACATGATGGATAAATTGCCTCAGCTATTCGTGACCGTCATTTTCTTGAATACGACAGTGGTTGAAACCCACAATTATGGACAAGTCATCCTTGACATCACGGTTGAATTGCCTCAGATATTGATAACCGGACAAATCACCTCATATATTCCGGACTGTCAGTGGTTGAAACCCACAATTATGGACAAGTCTTCCAAGAATTTACAAATTAAACTCGGGTATCACCAAATGGACAAAACCACCTCGGATATTACTGCTGTCATGTTCATAAAATATCACAGTCAACAAACATATAAATGAAGAAGAAAACTCGTTTTTTTGTAAACGATTCATTTTTAATCATGATACAAAAAAAATAATTTGGTTTCAATAAAACAAAATGGGTTCAGAGTGTGAACATGAAGATCAAATTACATTCATGAACTCAAATAAACAAAGGTATTCTTACATGATTGTAAATTCAAATTCTCAACATAAACAAGAGATCCATGGGCCATAAGGTCATTGGACGGTCAGATGATTTAAAAAGGACGGTCAGATGATTTAAAAATGACTTACTTTTCCAGATCTGGACACCATAAAAGAATTTCTATTTAGTAGCCACCTAACTCATATCAGATCTTCTAATCAAAATTTCAACACTGCGTGATAGTGTCTTGACAAAAGAAAAGGCCCAATGGTCTCAACAGTCACCTGAATTCCATGAACCTTGTTTGTGTTGTGTTATATATATCACTTAAAACACCTTAATAACATAGTCATCTGTCATCCTATATTATGGATTCTAAAAGATTTTGAATTAAAGAGAAAAAAAATTCTATATAAGCTTCTAACTTGATACCCTTCCCCAAGGGAAAATGCAAGGATCATGAAATTCATAATTTGAGTTAAAGCATCGCAAAAACCTTTCTATCTACGTAAAGTATTGGATTCTTCCATATCTGAGTGTTGTGGAGATTTTCGAAAATTTGATTCAATTTGACACTGCCAAAGTCCCCTAGTTCAGAGACATTGAACTTCATTTCCCTTAGCCATGCAAATATCTACCAAGTTTCATTAAAATTGGCTCAGGGGTTTTCAAAAGTAAAAAATGTAATTGTTTTACAATAGATGGGCAAAATGCAAGAAATTCTTCACACCTTTTTACTATCTAGTATGAAATGCTGTTTAATTAAAGTAATAACTACCCAGCCAATGTTTTATAAACAGGAGGCCTACGGGCCTTAAGTCATCTGAATATAAAGACCTATATATGAAAGAGGACAAATAAGTCCAAGATTACAAAGCATACAAAGTAGATACTGTTTGGTCATAAAAACATTTTCTGCAAACTTAAATTCATATTCTTTATACATGCTACTACACAAATGCCATTATTCCAAACCTATTGCTTACAGAAAAAAAAATTAAATCTCAACTCACTTAACCCAAGAGATCTTTAACATAGGTCAAGGTCAATTATCTAAAAACAATTTTTCTTCATCCACCAACATTGAAAAACCAATTTCAACAACTTTTTTGTTATTGAGAAGAAGTCATTAAAGATTGTAACAAATTTGACCCTTGTGACCTTTAAAAAGTGAAAATATAAATAACGTGAACATAATTAGTAATTCATTCCAGCCTACTACGGGCCGGTTATCAGAACTTTTTGGATATGGAGAAGAAATCATTTAAAGATTATTAAACATTTATCCCTGTGACCTTGAAAATGGGTCAAGGTCATTAATTTTATCAAACATTCTTGACAGGAATTTTACATACTGAGCATATTGAAATGCTGCAAACTTAGAAATTCATCCATCCTTGGTCAAGTCAATGGAAATATCGTATTCGTTATCTACAATTAGTCTTGGCACATTTTTCTTCCTTTTGATTAAAAACTAATCACTGTTTCAATGCTTGCTAGTGATATTTCATCAGAGACTGAATTCATGCAAGATACCATCTGCATTTGCTTTCTTGCTGTTTAAAAATACTTTAATCATTGATATTTTTGGTATCAAAAACTTGAAAAATAAAAGTAACTCCACTGAATGTTGTTTTTTTGTAAAAGTTCTCCACAAAACAATGCTGTACATTATCAATATATACAAAACACTACTCCAGAATTTCTATACAAAACTGTACTATGATATATATATATTGACCTTGATCCTAGTTTATTCAAGACTGTTGCATGAAGGAATGACAACAGATGCACAAGATGTTGAAAAATTATGATATAAGACAAGTGGTCAAAATTAAGTACTAACAACATAAAGAGGCATGCTTTTCAACAGCCATGTTTAATGTCGGTGCCATGTTTGACAATGTTAATATAAAGTTATAAATGAATAAATGATTTCACATTAGAACTTCGATCAATCCATTGTCTACAAACTGCTCCCCAATGATGAAAAGAACATCCATTTACTGTAGGTTTCTGACTCGCACACAGCATTTCTACAAATCTGAACAGCAGAAATAGCATGAAACAGTTTTAGGTTTCCAAACCACATGCAGTTCATCCACAATTATGAAGAGTTTTTTTTCCCCAGTACATCTTCAATTTCTTTCTTTTCCATCATTAACTGTGCTTAGGTCAATTGCTTTCCCACATTGATGTGGTATGGGCCATATTTTTCTGTTTCTTGAAGAGCTTCAAAATGTATTTGTCAAATTTTTTGGTGTTATCTTAACACACAAAAATCACATGGCTCAATGGCACCTATAATGTCATGTGATGTCATATCGTGTAAATCCTCATATTCATCCAGTTCAGCAGATGATGACTCCTGGATTGGGTCTGTAACAAAGATATCTTCATATAATAATGGCCACTTCAGTCATTTTATTTCTACTTAATTGTTTTAAACCAATACTGTTCAGATAGTCATTTACAGTCCTTTAGCAATGTGAAAATATATATAAAAAGATACAGGGACTAGGTCACAAAGGTAAGAGGCAACTACTAAGCCTGGTGATCACAAAATAGTGTTTTAACGTTATTCAGAAAAGATGACGGTGGTCCAAAAAAGAATCTGTTTTCATTAGAACTTATGTA